GAAAGGCAAGCATCAGCTACCTCCCAAGGCGCGCGGGTTTAGCAGCGAGGATAGATAGGGACTCTTGCTTGGACCCCATTTCCGACCTTAAAGGCTCCTAAAGGCTTACACCCGCCGGCATGGTCTCCTCGCTGCGATCCCGCCGCGGCGGCAGCCGGGCTCATCAGAAGCTTCGTGCGCTGGCGGTGGCGCTGATTGCGGCGGTCCTCGGTCACCATGTGCAGGTCTGGAGAGCACTAGATTTGAAGGGAGGGGCAACTAAATAACGCGTACTTAAGCCGGCTTAGATGCCCAACTGGTTGTAAAGCCGTCGTATGTTGGGGCCGGGAGCCTGGTAAAACCTTGACTGTGCAGTATCGGGGCTAGTGCTTGTTCAAGCAACTTTGTTTCACAGAGAACAAGGGACATGACTTGGCCGCGCATGTGCCTTCCCTCTTGGTTGCAGGTTGGGGTGGCCCAGACGCAATGGCTGCCGACCAACGCCTTTGGAAATTTCGGTGGGAACTTTGGTGGGTAGTTGGCTCCTTCCACAGTATTTCAGCAGCACGTGGCTTACTATTCGGGAAGGTGGCTGCTATTAAGCTGCTCCTGGCCTGAACTGGCATGCGTGTGTGTCTAGGACTGAACACGGGGAGTCCGGCTGACCCATGGGTCGTCGTCGTCGCCCATGCAATGTGTGCTAGTCCGTCAAGATCGTTTTCCAGCTTTCTGTTTACATTTATTATAGCACCATGGCTCAGTTCCCCTGCATGTCTTCCCCAGCAGGTATGGGCCAGCTGGGCACTGCAGCCACCCAGATGTTCCAGCAGGCGGGTAACCCCTTCGGCGGCGCCATTGGGTGAGTGAGCACCCCGCTCAGTAACAGCCTCCGTACCTGGTGCCTATGCCCTTCGTACAATTTAGATGGCCCACAAACAAACCGTGACTTCCTTACCTAAGCCCAGCAAGCCTCTGAAGGACAGTACTGGGTCTTGTTACGCCAACCTAGGAGCTTTACTGGTACGATAACCTCGTGCATTTGCTGGCGCGGCATGCAGCAGCACCCGTAAAGCGCCGATAGCAGCCAGATCTCTCATCCCCCTCCATGTTCCCCTCTTTAATTCTCGCCCTCTGCTCGCCTACTGCTACGGTATGCCGTGTTCCTCCCGTCCCTCCGCAGTGCGACTCTGGCTGGCCTGCCCATGAACAATATGCTCGGCAGTCTCAGCATGGGTTACGGCAACCCCTTCCAGTTCGGACAGCAGCTCCTCGGCGGCCAGTTCGGCCAATTCATGTCATCAGCAGCAGGCAACAACCAAGTGCAGTACGGCCAGCAGCAGTACGGCATGCCTTGGGTCGGTTACAACGACCAGAAGCAGAACGAGCAGCAGAAGCTTCAACACCTCCAGGAGGCCCTCAAGGTGCCGTACTATCCTTGCACGGAAGCATCCCAGCACATCTCGTGGGCTGCATGTAACATTTGTCCATGCATGTTTGTGTACGTCCCCTGCCCAAAGCGTCTGCAATCATTATGCAATAGAACCTTATGTTCATTTCCCAGCCTTCCCCCTCCCTCTCGCATACGTGTTTGGGTCCTGTGATACCGGTAACCCCGTGACTGCTGCTTCCAGGGCGACCCCGCCGTGGCTGGTGTGGTGGGTCCTTCCATCCTGCTCGCCTCCGCCATCTGCTTCACCGTTTCGGGCTCGCTGGCTACCGCCTCCACCAGCATCGGCATTGCGGGGTCGCTGGTGGGCAACGTGGTGGCGTGGTCCAAGTGGCTCAACGTGGCCGAAATCTTTTTCCTGGGACTCAGGTGGGCGCCAGGGTGACGCTGCGAGGTTGTGTAGACAGCGGTGCGGTGCTCTTCGACTCTCTCTCACGGCATCCCGCCCATGCAAGTGACTGCTGCTGCTCCCTTGGCAATTCTAACCTATCCTCTCGTGCTTCTCATACAATGCCATCCATCTTTGGCCCTAAACCCCATCCTGGCACCACTACCGGCGCCTTCCGCAGGGGCGGCGGCCGCCGCAGTCTGCTTGAGGACCCCGCCACCGCCAACAGCACCGCCGCCGCGGAGGAGTTCCAGCAGCGTGCCGCGCTGCTGCAGATGCTGCGCCAGGCCAACAGCGCCATGGAGGCGTACGGCAGGGACCTAGGCACCGTTCGCAGCAACCTGCAGCAGGGTAAGGTGCCATGGTTTGACTAAGCTGTGAGGTTGGACACAGACCGAGACTGTTGGGTGTGTGGCGGGGTGAAGGGAAGTGACTGGCCGTGCCGTCTGCGTGGGAAAAGCAGGTGGCGGGGGGAAAGCAGGGCGGGTATGCTTGGTAGCACCGTCCCGTGGGTCAGCTTCGGAACATTGCTTTGCTGGTCACAAGGAAATGCCGGCAAGAGTGCACCGTGCATGTCTTTCCATTGCATGTAAACCATGCTACTTTGCGCAATTCGGTTGCCCTCGTTTTTAGCCAACGGCTCTTAATTTACCTTACTCACGCTGTACCGCACCCTCGTCACCCCCTCCCTGCCCCGCAGCTCCCTTCATGTCCTTCCTCCAGAGCCAGGCATCCGCCATGAAGACTGCCCAAAAGGCCCTCTCCGCGGTGTCCGCACACCCCCTGGGTAAGGCCCTCGACCTGGGCTCCAACAACGGTTTGTTCCAGCTGCTCCGGAACCAGGTGAACGGCGCCGCAACTGGAGCGGAAAAGGCAGCTGGCGTTGGTGCCGCCCAGGGAGCAGCGCAGCAGTTTGCTGCGGCTATAAGCAAGGCACTTGGCGGCTCGAAGTAAGGACCTACGCCGGGCCTTGTGGTCAGCGGATGCTGTGGCGCAGGGACTGTGCAACGGTGACGCAGCATGATGACGCCGCATTGAGCAAATAAGGAGCGCTTAGGTGAAGGATGAGGACGGTCTGCTGGGGTGCAGGGGAATGCGGTACGACGACGGGAGGAGAGGAAAGTACGAGGTATCAACTGTGCCATGTGGGAAGCTGCGAGGCTGTGTGTTTAGCGTTGCAGCGTCGGTGGTCATCCTAAATGTGATCCTAATGTGTCCGGCTTTCCCTCAGGAAAGCATCGTATTGTGACATCGAATCAAGAATGGATGTGAACACAACTCTGCATGGCTGCCAAGCAGCTGCGATCCTGTCATCTTAACACACCCGCCCATGTCGCCACGTGAGGTTTTGGTTTCGCTTCCCGTAACCCATGGCCGTTCCTGGGGCACGCCCTGTGGGGAAACCCCTTTATGTATAACCCTGCTGCATTTGAATAAGGGCTGTGTCTTGGTGTTTGGTGTGTCGCGTAAACCCAAAGGTAGTCGAAGCTGGGATGTGGTACCGTGTAAGAATTGTAACGGCACCCTGGGATGGATGCCACCCTACTTACCTGTACCCTACATAACCTCCCACCCTAACCTACTGCTTTACAACAACCCATACGACAGTGCACGATGCCCTTATATGGCATGCCTGCCTTCACCACTTCCCGTGACGGGTGGCCCATGTGACAAGGCGCCAAACGTAAGGCCGTACCTTCGCCATAACCTGCTAGAGCACCCCCACAACACTCGCATAACTGGCCAGAGAGGCCACCAACAAAGTAATACCTCCGATTTCCAAAATACAGCCACCACCGCCTAACTAACGATGGGCCACGACAGTAGCTCACGTTCGGAAGCGCCACACCTACTAGCACGCACGCGTCACGCTCCCCCCCTGGACTTGCGCACATGGATCGGTGGGGGCACAGGGGTAACAACGCTCTCGCTCATGCACACATGTAGACATGTTGAAAGACGAGGTCCTCAGGACCGCCACTCGCTCGCGTGAAGCCACGATAGCTCGCGTGCACCCTCCTTCCCATCAAGAAGGACCGTATCCTTTGATCACTTCGCTCCGCTAACCGTACCACATACACGGTATACAAGTCCCTGCTGCCAAAGCCTGCCGCTCGCTCGTCAAGCGCACATCTCTAACCCTCACAACACCCCTCACCCTCCACAGCAGACACTCCTCAAAACCACGGTTGAGTTCTTCACGCCATTCACAGTACACGTTCCATTTGCCCTGCCTTTCAACGCCTTTTAGGTTCAAACCATAAAACCCGCCTGCTCCATGCACCATGCACGGTAGCATGCCTGCTATCAGCTACGCACCACCTCCTCCTCCGCCCCCACCAGCCCCATCACCACCTCCTCCATCCCCACCACCACCAGCCCCCGCCCCACCTGCCCTCATAAAACTCCGTATATCCCTCGGCGCCCGGGCACCTCCTCCTCCTCCTCCACCTCCTCCTGCCCCCGCTGCTTGTTGACCGCTGCCCCCAGCCGCCCCCTCCTGCGGCCCCGGCCCCGGCGGCTGCAGCAGCAGCTCCAGCATGCGCCGCGTGCGGGGGCCGCTGGGGCCGTCAGCGTTGACGGAGGGAATGATGCGGCCGGGTTGCAGCCAAGACACGAAGGAGCGCAGCTCGCCAAAGCTGCTGTGCTCGCTGTACGGCACCTGCAGCGGCAGGTATGCAAGGTAATGCCGAAGGGGTGTTTGTGATGAGGGGTTCGGTTTGTTGAAACGGTGTAGATATGGTAAGAGACGCACGATCAGGCACGGAAGGTAAGGGGGAAGATGGGTGCTGTGCGCGGGAACGGCGGGGCGCACCGCTGCAGTATATCTGCATATGTCACACAGGAAGAGGAGACAAGTTCTGGAAAAGGACCCGGGCCAAGGGCCATTCCTCCTACTGCTGTAGCCTTCCTACCCCCTCCCAGCCCCTCCAAAACCAGCCTCTCCTCCACCCCATGCCCCTCCAAAACCAGCCGCTTCTCCCGCACCTGGTACACCACCGCCGTACCGCGAGCCATGCGCCGCCCGATGACGGCCGACTGCTGCTGCCGCGACAGCACCGCCCCTCCTCCTCCTCCGCGTCCTCCCCGCCCTCTCCCCCGCCCTCCTGCTCCTGGCCCCGCTCCTCCTCCTCCTCCTCGACCGCCCTGTTGCCCGCCCCGGCCGCCGCCGCCGCCCCGACCACCCGCCGCGTGGTTCCATCCGGTGGGCTGTCGTGGGGGGTAGGGTGCAGAAGACGGAGAGACGCGGGTTGAAACGTGGCAAGCATGCGCGGTAATTGGGGGATACGTCACGGCTCCATGACACCTATACTCCTCCGCCTTGCCTTCCTCCCTCGCACGCATCAAATCCGTTCACCGCAGCAAGGAGGGTAGGTCACCCCACTCCGTCCTCCTTTTCCTCCTTCCCTCCCCTCCACGCGATCCTACAATCCAGCCTAATGCGGAACACGTATCCCTCTTCCTCCCCTCCGCGCTCCTTCCCCTCCTCACCGAGAATCCAATGACGGCCGAGTACCTGCCCCGGTACTGCGCCAGGATGGCTGACAGCCCGTCCAGCGTCACCTTGAACAGCGGGACCTGATGGGGGGGAGTGGGGCGATGAGGGGAGCAAACGAAGGGGTCAGGGGTCAGGGTCAGACTTCGCAAGCGGAACCTGATGAGAAAGGCATACTAGGCGCCGGCAGCAAAATGTTCGGGTTAGGACTACCGTAGCAAGGACGCTACATGTCCCTGCCAACCAACCATGTCAATGTGCACAGACCCCCCTGACCTGCCCGGCCCAACAACCCAACCATAGGACCACCCCTCCCTGCCGTACCGCGTGTATGTTTGCCTCCAGGTGGTTGGTGGTTATAAGGGAGGCGTAGCGGGGCGCCAGACCGCATGCGGCCAGTGTGGCGGCCTTCTCCTTGCTGCAGTACACCTGGGGGCGTGGCAGCGAGGAGGGGAGAAAGAAGAAGTAACATGCATGGGGAAAAAGGAGCAAAAGGGAGGGGAAGTAGACACAATACCATGCGTGGGGAGGCGGAGGGGCATGCGGAGCGTGTCAACCATCTGCCAGCCAACCTTCCCTCCGCCTGCCTGCTCCCCTCTCCCTCCCAACTCCTCCTCCTCCTGCTCCCCACCTTCTGCCCCAGCGCTGCTGCCACCTCCAGGAACAGCCGCTCCTTGCCGATGGTGTAGGTGCCGAACACGTACAGCGCGCGCTTGTTGAAGCTCTCCGCCTTCACAGCCTGCGGGATGGAGATAGGGCGGGTTGCGGGTTGCGGGTTGGCTGTTGGGTTGGGTCAGAGAGAAACCAGGCTAAAGTCGGGTTGGGTTGGGTGCGGGGAAGGTGGAATCCCGTCCTTCCCAGGCGTGTCCTTCCCCCCTCCCCCCACCTGCATGACCGCGTCCAGCACGTCCTGCTGCGGCGGGAAGTGGTACTGCGGGTCGCAGTAGGTGGTGTCCAGCACCAGCGTGCAGCGCCGGCCCACCAGCGACTGAGGGGCAGGGGGGGGGTTCAAGGTAGACCGAACCATAGGAAACCACGGATGTGGGCAACACAACGGCTGATGGGGGGGCATGGACAGGTCAACCTGCAAGAGACAAGCAGCGCCTTGCGAGGCCTTACAGGTTCGCGACCCAAGCAAGCGCGGCCCTGTTACTAATGACCTCGGCGCCTCGCTCATTTCAAGCCGCCTTCCAAGTCACCCCTCCTTCCGGGCCCCTCCCGTACCCACCCAACCCATGGTGGAGCCCTGCCTCTCCCCCCCTCTCACCCTCCCACCTGCAGCACCGGGTTGCTCCGCATGTGCTCCCCCAGTCGGCAGTCCCCGGTGTGCAGCACGGGCGGGCGCCCCCCCGGCGGCTGGGCCACCACCATGGCGGCCCCGGGGCAGTGATTGGCGTCGACCAGGGTCAGCGACACGCCTGGAGTGATGAGAAGGGAGATTGAGGGAGTGGGAGGTGGGAGGGCGGCGTGGAGGATTTAAGGTATAAGGGATTACGGTAGCAAGGGCACCTGAAGTATGGGTCGGGCTCCGTGGGTTCGGCGAATCGCTCGTTTGCCTAGTCGGCATACACGTAGTTGGTTTCCTCTCCAACCCCCTCCTGCTCCCGCTCCTCCTTCCAGTCCTCACCGTCTATTTCCACGGGTGTGTCCATGGGCAGCACCCGCAGCTTGGCGGCGGGCAGCTTCAGGCGCTCCGAAACCAGTCGGGCGGTCACCGGGGAGGCTAGGACGGTACCGCCGGAGAAGGTGCGGGTGAGGCCCTGGGAGAGGAGGGGTGGTGGGGCATGTGGTAACCAACTGAGCCGCGTAACAGTACTGCCTATAGCGGTAGCCGTAGGTCGAGGAAAAGTGCGATTGGGCATGTGTGCGCATGCATGCATGCATGCACAGCTCACAGACAGGCGAAGCAATGGGTCACGAGCAACAAAGGGGCGTAGGCTGCGTGGCTCACCTTGTAGTGGTCGGCGTGGAAGTGGGTGAGGATGCGGAAGGGTGCAGTGGAGGCGGGGATGTCGCGACTGGGGGGCCCGAAGAAGTCCACCAGGAAGCTGCGGAGGAGGATTTGAGGGGGATTACTGAACTGGGTTTACAGGGGATAAAGCGGAGTTAGGCAGTCATAAGCCGGAATCTCGCTGTCGCAAGATGACCCATGGGTCTTTCCTGCCCTGCTCTTAACACCCCTTCCGTCCGCCGTACCGTGTTCCTGGGATGGTATGGCACTCCGGCACCCATCGGGGCAGCATGCGGCCCCCGCTAATGCCCATGCTGCCACCGCCGACGCCACCAGCACCAGCGCCGGCCTCCGCTCCCGTTCCTGCACCTCCTCCGCCCCCGAGCCTCTGGCCCCGTTGCTGTGGCTGCTGTTGCCGCCCTTGCAGCCCTCGCTGCTGCTGTTGCTGCCACGGCCTCCGAACCTGCTGAGGCTGCTGCTGCTGGCACGCCCCCTGTGCAGCAGCCGTATGAGCTCCAGGTGGCAGGCTTTGCTGATGACCAGGAGCTGCCCAGCCCATGCCCTGCAGCCGTCGGTCCCCGGCAGTGCCGCCAGAGCCGGCACCGCCACTGCTGTTTGCACCACAGCTCGGGGCTACAGTAGCAGCAACTGGGGGGAAGCCTCCTGATGGGGGTGCACCGCCAGATGGCTGCGCAGGAGCTGCGTCGGATGCGCCGCCTCGGAAGAAGTGCGTGATGCGAACGGGTCCCGCGGGTCTGGCAACAAACATGGAGGCGAAGGGCTGCATGGGCTGCTTTTGTGGCTGTCGTGGCTGCTGGGGCTGCTTTTGTTGCTGGTGCGGTTGCGGCTGCTGCGGGTGGTGCAGGTGGTGCGGTTGCTGCGGGTCCTGCTGTGGTGGCGGGTGGGGCATGCGGGTATAAGCATGCTGCACCCGTTGGGGGTGTGAAGACGACGTCCCTGGCGCTGCCACGTTGGCTGTTGCGGCTGCTGCAGCTGTGGCAGGTGCTACTGCGACTGTATCGAAAGAGGTTGAGCCGACCACAGGGGTGGTAGGGTTGAAGACCGGCGCAGGAACAATAGCAGCGACGCCGGCGGCTGAGCAGCCGTTGCTGAAGTCAGGAAGCGCAGCGAGGATGGCCGCTCGCGCGTCTGGGCAATCAATCCCCAGACCCTAGCGGGGAAATGAAGGACGGGAATGCAATGTGAGAAAGCAACGCCATCCGTATACGAGGTGTCCCTGAGTAATAAGAGAGGAGAGTGGGTTCCGGTGTGCAAGGTTTGCCGCTGCTATGCCCCTTTGGGAGCGCTGCATAGTCTTGCCCATGCGCTTCTTAACCACCCACCGCACCTCTCAACCACCTGCCCGGAGCCTTGCCTTGCCCATACCATAGCAAAGCCGTAACCACATGCCCCCTGGTGCTGAGTCATACCCCCGCCTGAGTCACACACCTGGAGGTCTGCGTCATTGAGCTCCGGAACCACTGCCTCATCCACCTCCCCGTCCCGGAACCGCCCCAGCCACCGCTGCAGCCCGTGGCGATATAGCCTGCCGGGCGTACAGGACCAACATGGTTGTGGGTTGGGGTTTTGGATCATCGGTGAGGTCTGAATCACAGGGCTACAGACATGTGTGACATCTTTCCAAATTCTTGACGCTAGAACGCCGGGAGAACTTGAGCTTAGGCTATAAGCTCATACTACGTTATGACTCTGGACCTTTCCACATCACTGCCACCTTACCATGGCCGACCCGATCCCTTACCGAACCCCTCTCCTCAACACGGCAATCCTTCGATTCCCCTTTTCCCGTCCCGTAACCGAGCATTAGTGCATTTCTCCCCAGCCCGCACCCACCATGCGGCCACGGGGTCGTCGTCCTCGATATCTCCCGCATCTTCCGCAACCTGCAGGCCGCCCGCCTCCTCATCCTGCTGCAGCGGCTGCTCCTCAGCACCGCCATCCCAGTCCTCAGCACCGCCGTCCCAGTCCCCATGACGCTCCTCCCCTTGGAGCTGCCTTCCCTCCTCCTCGGCTGGCTCCTCATCGTCCTCCTCGCGACCCTGCCTCCAGGGCTGCTGCTCCGTGCCCACAAAGCCCTCGTCGTCAATGCCAGCATCAGGATCATCGCCATCATGATTGCCGTACGAATCATCGCCATCATGATTGCCGTACGGCTCCTCCTCAGTGCCCTCCACCTCCATCCGGCCCGCATCTCCCGCTGCGCCCTCTTCCGCGCCGGCCATATCCGTATCTGCTTCCGGCACGCAGCGCTCCTTCTCCTCCTCGCTTCGCTGGTGCCCTCCGCAACGGTCGTAACAACCACCGCTGAGGGCAACACCGCCACCAGCAGTTCCGTGTGCATTACAGCACCCACCACCGCTATGGTTTGTGCCAAAAGAGCATATGGCGGCGTGCGGTGCGATGCTGGCACGGGTGGCCACGCCGTCGAAGCCCTTGCCCCAGTCACCACGCAAGCCACAACCGTCTCCTCCTCCTCCCGCATCCGGCGGAGATCGTTGCGGAGAGCTTTCTGGAGGAACTTGGGTAGCAAGCTGGTAGTCGTAGCCCTCCCCGTCTGCGTCATGGCATCCACCGCCGCTGCCGTGGCAGCCATGGGTTCGCATTTCATCGCCGACAGGGGCCTCTGCGGCTGCTGGTACTGCCGCCGTTGCCTCCACAGGGGCCCCTCTGTCATGCCCCTCGGGCTTGCAAGCCGGTGGAGCCGCGCAAAAGGCTGCATGCGCACCAACTGCAGCACCTTTTTCAACCAGCACGACCTCCTCCACGTCGCTGTCGCTGTCCATATTTTCGATTGCAGAAGCTGCGACTGCCGTTGCTGCTGCCGTCACCACCCTTCCGCATGCTGCAGCCGCGGCGTCAAGGCACGCGTTTACGTGGGCCTCCCGGCCGGTTGACGTCTCCGAAACCTGACCCAGATCGCAGCCGCATACCGGGCAATGGCTGCTGCTCGCGCATTTATCTGCTGCGCATCCGTCAAGCGAAGCAGAATGTGACTGCTGGTGTGGCTGCCCTTGAGGATCTGGCTTTGGTGGGCACGGTTGTGTGCACCGCCGTGCTGTGTTGAGGATTGGTGCAGGTGTAGCGCTTGCTGATAGGGTTGCGAATGCGGCTCTTGGAGCTGTTGTCCGGTTCGGAACATTTGCCGCCGCTAATAAGGGGTTCGTCCCAGTGTGCTGTTCTTGCGTGGGTTGCCGGATGGCTGGTCCGCTGGGGCGTGCAACCGGGACAGGAGCTGAAGCTGATGCTGACGCCTGTCGATCCGATGCAGTTAAGGCGCCAGGCGTACAGCTGGTCGCGGGTGGGGCCTGCCTTGGCGTGAAGCCTGTCATGGGTGGCGACCCAATTGGGGCAATGTTAAGACGACAAGTGGGTTATCCTAGGGAATCTATGAGGCGGAAAATCGGTAGCGTTTCGTTTGTATAGGAGTAGGAGGATGACGGGCGAGCGGTGAATGACTTGCAAAAGGAAATATCGGTACGCTTGCCCATGAGGACATGCCGATAATTCACCAGTTTCTGCACACCTGGCCATGATTTAAGGAAGCCAGCCAGTTGGCCAGCTGCTGGTGTTTTTGGTCCTGATGAAAGGTTTGCAATTTTGGATAAGCTGGTGCAGGCTCCTTGGCGACTGAATTGCTTTCCTTGTTTCGCTGCGGAGAGCGGGGCTCCTATAGCGGACGCACTCGGAAGCAAAGCCCCTTGCACAGCTGTTTTGCTCACGGATGCTTGAGTCCTTACATCTTGCCTTTGCCGACGGCTGGCTTGAAGAGGTGGAGCGCTTAGGCGTTTGCGTTTTGGCCCGCCAGCGGGTGCCGACACAAAATCATCACTATCAGAGAAGTCGGACATGTCAGTAAGTGTGGTTGCGACCGCTCCGTTTGGCTTGTGGGGGCCAAGGATGCCAGGTGTGACAGCTTCCACTGCTAACTATCATATCCTTGCTTTCCGTTAACCGATACATATATATTGAGTTCCATAGTTAGCACATGTTGAAGGAAGCGCGTTCACTCGTTTTCCACAATGCTGTAAAGGGTCCCGGAGCGCAAACGCATGGATCCAAAATGGAACCAACGTCTTTCCCTCTGGGCAGCAAACCGTATGAGGAGTTAATAAGGATGCCTACGGTCTGATGTAAACCGTTATTACTGGCAAGCGTAAGGTAGGCATGGCGTAGCTGCGCAGGATTGGCGACTTCAGCGGCAGCAGATCAACTTCGAAACCTATATTTTAAGAAGTGGCGCTGTGCAGTTCCGGGATAGTTCTAGTAGCGGTGAAACATCTTCCCTCTGACAGCTAGTTGGTTTGTCCATGGCTATGTCACTTTACACCTGCGCGGAGTACCTCGGTATACAGCTGAAGATACATGATGTCAATTAGGATGCCAAGACATAGCTTCCATAATCGCAACACTCCAATACACACACGCCACCGCTGAACGCCAACATCGTAACCAGGCTTCCTCGGCCCAGCATCCATGCTCGTATCCAGGCAGGCGAATGATGCCTACCAACGACTAGTCAAGTTAGCGGCCAAGGAGGATGAGCTCGGGCTTGGGTGAGCTGCCATATGCAATTTGTCATGCGGGCGCCCCTGTACAGGCCACAAAGCGCATGCATGGCAAATGCATGGTCCAAATGCCAATTGCCGCTTCTTCCTCAAGCCTTTCTCGCCTACCGTAGCACCCCAAGAACCAAGCCATCCTCCAACCACAGACCATAACCCGCAACGTGCTCTTCCTATCTAAAACGCCATTATGCAGCGCTATTCCTTGCTATCCCCAGCAAGGTCATACTAGGCCAATGAGCTGTTAGTAGTAGCTAACTAGCAGTAGGACAATTGGCAAGACAGGTATTAGTGCTTCCGAAGGACTAAAAAGGCCCTGCGTGGGACATCACACGGAGCTAGGTTAAACACCCCACATTTGCAACGCCACGTCCATAAACATAAAAAAGGCAAACAACAAACCCGCATCCGCATGCCAAGGAAGGAAGCAAGCTAGCCGCTACAACAGCCTTGGGGCATGGGGCGAGACATAGAAATAATGACAAGCAGTGTCATGAGTCCGACCATACCACAGTTACTAGCGCATGGCAAACTCCTAGAAGCAGCGGCAAGCAACAGGCCGCAGGGGCTAAGCAGTGCCAAACAGCACTGCATCCGGGGAAGAAGCATGTAAGGTAGCCAGTAGCTACAACAAAAACAACAACACTGCATTCCCCAAACTGTCGTCAACACGGCTCAGTGCTTTCAATCATCGCCATCTTCTGTCACCCTCCTACTGTACTGACAGTGTTGGGCCGGCAACTGTAGCATAGCAATAGAACCAACACGACTGTCGATATATACATCGCCTCCAGCCAACCTAAGCATATATAGGGCTTAAGTTGCAAGGGTGAAGTCAACACAACCATCTGGGCATAGCTTCTTCCGCCCTGCTAGAGTACGACACCTGTATGTACGATCACAGGTCCCAAGCCAGTGCCCGTTCACAATGGTGGCACCGGCATCCAAGAAAGCCTCAAACCCCAACAGTGCACGCCCGTAACGCCCGCTGGCTGTAAGTTCAATTCCAAACAGGGCGGCTAACTCCGCTCATCCACCTTCCCTCACCCCTGTGCAGCACCCTGAGCAGCCCCCTGCCGCTGCAAGCACGCCTCCTTATGCCCCCCTGGAGCCCGCCAATGCGCCGTCTGGCACTCCCGGCAGCAGTACCACGCCCCTCCACACCGCGCGCATGCCTTCAGCGGCAGCTCCGCCTCGCTGTCGCCCTTCAGGTTGACACAGGCGGGGTTGCTGCACGTGCGCAGCAGGCGGCGTGCCTCCGCCGGCGGCACCAGGAACCGCCGCATGACCCCCACCACGTCCGGCACCGACATGCCCCGCTCACTAGCCCGCTGCCGCAGCCGCTCCGGCACACAAGTGAAGCCCACGGCACTGCCCCCGGCGCCTCTGTCAGAACCCCAGGCCTCCAGCCGGCCTGCCAGCGCCAATGCGGCGTCTGCCGCCTCCCCACGCCCGCTCTGCAGTAGCTTCGGCGCCAAGCCGCGCACCAGCACTGGCGGCCAGGCGAACACCGGCGGCGCAAAGGTTGCCTGCTCGGCTTCCCGCACTGCCGCCTGCACCTCCTGCGGAAAGGCACCCGCCACCACGCCGCAGCAGTCCAGGAGTTCAGCCAGGTCCGCCCCCGTGTCCGACTCAACGCCGCGACAGAGGTGCAGCAGCGAGCCCAGCAGCGGCACCACCGCCACCTCGCGAAGCAGGAAGGGAACCCAGCTGCCGCCGCTGCTGCTGCTGCCCGCGCAGTCTGCATCGCCGCTGCGGCCCTTACAGGACAGCGCCAGCCCAGATAGCCAGCGCGCCAGCGGAGCAATGTACGTGCCCCAAAAGCTGTGGAGGCCTGGCTCCTGAGGGGGTCCGACAATGGCACACCGCAAGGCCAGCTGCCGGAGGAGGAGTGAGGCGGTTGGCAGCCACTCGCAGACCGCAAAGGAAACCAACCGACCCAGTTGCTGAAGCCCCGCTGGCTGCCCGAAATCATCGCCAGCAGGGGCGCCCTCGGGCACCAGGGTTTCAGCTAGCGGACCGGACGCCAACTCTTCCATATGCTTGAGGATGACGGCTGTGCGGCTCTTGGCACCAAGGGACAGATACCCTCTCTCAAGCCGCAGCAATTTGGCGTGTGTCACCACCCACGATGCCGCCTGGCGCGGTTCGGAATATGTAAAGAGGTCGAGCCAGGTCTCGGCTTCCCTAACGCGGGCTCCATTCAAGAATTGAAAAAGTACCGATCCCTCGCGGCTTTCCGAGCCAACTGCCGCGCTGTGACGCCGCAGCAGGCTGTCCAGCCAGGGCAGCAGGCCAGCTGCGATTGCTGTGGCCACAGACGGGCGAGGTACCGGTGACGGCGCCCAGCTGGATGAGGCTTTGCCTGGAAAGGATGTGTCATGGAATGAAGGGTATGTTTAGCGGACCAGACCGAACGGACCAGAGAAAAGGGCGACATGGCTCATGAACAGCAGATAGGGAAAGCCAAATGAAGACCAGAAGTGCGCGCCTTGGAATGACAGGCGCATCCTTTTACCGGGAGCCACAACCTACCGTGTGGATCCCATGGGCTCAGCGCCTCTTGGAGCGCTTCCCCCAGTCCTCGGCAGGTGCTTTCATCAGCATGCAGGCAGACATGCCGACCTACATCCATCGCCAAACGCCATAACTCCGCCATAAGCTCCGTCACATGCCCGCTTGTGGGGATCGTCGCCCAGGCCAGCGCCAGAGCTTGAACCACAATTTCCGAAACGTGATCCTGGCGCAGCACTAGATGGCTGGTTCGCGATGCAGTACGGCCGGCCAGCGGTGCCGGCAATGCGCCAACGTCAGTTGCAGCAGTGCTGGAAAGCGGAGCAGCCGCCGCCACACCAGCAGCAAGCTCGGCGGCAGCTGGGCCATCAGGCTGCAAGTTGCCGCGTCGCAGCATAAGGTGCAGGAGGCGAAGTGCCAGCGTGTGGGCGGCCTTGCGGTGCAATGGCTGCTTTGACTGCCTGCGCAAAGCGGCCAACATCGCCTTGAAGCAGACCGGGTCCAGCTGCGGCTCTCGGCCTTGGGCCGGTGCGGGAGTTGACGCCAGGGCCCCTAAGGGCTCGGTCAGGATGGGCAGCCTCCCAAGCAGGTCCGGCTGCAGGCCGTAGGCGGGGCCATCATCATCCTCGCATAAGAGCGTTAAGCCGTGGGCCACTGCCACGTGCTGAGCACAAAGGCCCTCAGCTGCGGAGGACAACGAGAAAAAGTTGTCTGCTTCGACAAAAGCAGTTAAGAACAGGAACGACGCCTCTTCTGCTTTCTTGGTTAGGCCGCCTTCAGCTGCAGCCCGTGTATGGTAAGCAAGCAGGGCTCGCGCCGCATGCTCCATGGGGCAGCTGTCCCTAAGCACAGGGCCGAGCCGGTTGTAATACTGTTGCTGCTCTTCGACACCTGTAAACCCCTCCCAATACATCATCCCGAAGGAGATGCATATCATGCCAGCAAGCAGCGTTAAGGCAGGCAACACCGCCTGGCTGAACACTGTCTCCAGTGGCAGCTGCTGAATGCCCTCCTTGCGCGCATTAAGCAGCCACTCGGCCGCGGCAGCTAACTGACGGCTACAAGCTTGCACTGTTTGCATGCTGAAGAGCTTCCGCACAAAATCGAGCGGCCCTAGAAGTTTATGGGTTTCTGCTTCTGAAACGTGCTGGGGCAGGTGCGTCATGAACATGAGCAGGTTGCCGGCCAGCATAGCGCCCTCAACCACAATTTCGTCCACGAAGCCATTGCCATGACATGTGTTCGGCAGTATTCGCACCGCCTCCGCCGTAAGCCTTATCAAAAATGAACGGACTCCGGTGAATGTTACTATGGCTGCGGAGGCGGATGCCCTGCGCTCTGTCGACAGTGACCCCACATATGCACTGATCTCCGCAAGCTGCTTTCTAGCATTTTCCAGGTCCCCTTTGAAGAGACTACTTGTAACGGTGGCTTCCATAGGCAAACTATGGGCTACGTCTGAAAGCGACTGTAGGGCGGCCTCCACCGTGTGAGGGACTTTATAGTTATCCATATTCCGTATGACCTATAAGCTTTATAAACATTTCCTGTCCTTTGACAATGGCAAAGACTTGAGCCAAGCAGCCAACATAGCGTGGCCTTATCCTCCGAAACCATGCGGATCCCAAGTTCCCAACACACCTAGGCCGGTCAAATGTCGTCCACACTTGCACAACATGCACAATTCCACAAGCAGGTAACTGGAGTCCAAACACTAATGGCAATCATTGGATCGCGTCGGGAAAGGTAGGTAGGTAGCCATGTAACGGTTGGCATCTGCCGCACCACCTGCCAACGGAATCAACATGAATCAGTGATTCACTCGCGTTTTGGAAGCTTGTGCGAGTGAAGTGTTTAGTACATTACCCAAAGGGTGTGTTCAGCGCACCCTAAATACGGTAGCCTTACCCTCTTTGCGGGTGCAGTGCAAAAGGTCTGTGCTTTGCTTACATTGAGGTTTGAAGGAGACGGCAATTCTGTGTGCACTGGAAGTGCACGCAGCCTCTATCTCTAAGTCCCTGTCAGTCTTTCGGCCGCGAGCATCTGCGTGGAGCCTTTGTCAAAGGAGTTAACTCCCACTAGGTGCTGTTCTGCTATTACACAGTAACGTGCAAAAGCATAGCACGTTAAATAGCATGGGATAAATAGCATGGGATCGGACATCGGTCGCTTGTCCTGCGTGGGCCAAGAGGCAGTTTCGGTCAACTATGAGCAGGTAAGCAAACTTATGCACGAAAGACTGCAGAAAACTCCCTCCCCGGTTTGTAATCCCACCAATTCTACCCTTCCCTTTTTCCCCACCAGTTTCCAATCCCAACACCGCAGCCTACTCCTGCCACCCATCCCACGCAGCCACCCTCGCCCCCGCCCCTGCCACAGCCGCCTTCCCCAAACCCGCCCCTCTGCACCATTGCTGCCTTCCCGCCTCCCGCGGCCTCCACTGCTCCTCCCCCGCTACCCCCGCCTCTCCCCCGTGCCAGCCCTCCAAACCCTAAACCCGTGCCCATCTCCGCCACCGCTCCCCCCCCAAACCACGCCAGCCCACCCCCGCTCCTGCCACCTACCCCGCCTCCGAATCCACCGGCACCCCGCCGTCCCCCAACCCGACCTCCACCTCCTCCCCCACCCCGACCTCCACCTCCTCCCCCACCCTGCCCCACATCGGCTGCCTAGCCCATACCATACCAAGGCCGTAACCACCTGCCCCCTGGTGTGGAGCCATACCCTGGTGTGGAGTTGTACCCTGGTGTGGAGTCATACCCTGGAATCATACCCCCGCATGGCTCACACACCTGGAGGTCTGCGTCATTGAGCTCCGGAACCACTGCCTCGTCCACCTCTCCGTCCCGGAACCGCCCCAGCCACCGCTGCAGCCCGTGGCGATACAGCCTGCCGGGCGGACAGGGCCAACATGGTTTGGGGGTTTGGATCATGGGTGAATTCTGAATCACAGGGCTGCAGACATGTGTGACATCTTTCAAATTCTTGACGCTAGAACGCCGAGAGAACATGGGCTTATAGCCTATACTTTGTTATGACTCTGAACCTTTCCACCTTACCATGGCCGACCCGATACCTTACCGAACCCCTCTCCTCCATACGGCAATCCTCAGATTCCCTTTTTCCCCTCCCGCAACCGAGCATTAGTGCATTACTCCCCAGCCCGCACCCACCATGCGGCCACGGGGTCGTCGTCTTCGATATCTCCCGCATCTTCCGCAACCTGCAGGCCGCCCGCCTCCTCATCCTGCTGCAGCGGCTGCTCCTCAGCACCGCCGTCCCAGTCCTCGGCACCTCCGTCCCAGTCCCCATGACGCTCCTCCCCTTGGAGCTGCCTTCCCTCCTCCTCGGCTGGCTCCTCATCGTCCTCCTCACGACCCTGCCTCCAGAGCTGCTGCTCTGCGTCCATAAATCCCTCGTCGTCAACGCCATCATGGTTGCCGTACGGCTCCTCCTCACAGCCCTCCCCCTCCGTCCGGCCCGCATATCCCGCTGCGTCTTCTACGGCGCCGGCCATATCCGTATCCGCTTCCGGCGCGCAGAGCTCCTTCGCCTCCTCGCTTCGCTGGTGCGCTCCGTAACGGTCGTAACAACCACCGCTGAGGGCAACACCGCCACCAGCAGTTTCTTGTGCTTTACAGCACCCACCACCGCTATGGTTTGTGCCAAAAGAGCATATGGCGGCGTGCGGTGCGATGCTGGCACGGGTGGCCACGCCGTCGAAGCCCTTGCCCCAGTCACCACGCCAGCCACAACCCTCTCCTCCTCCTCCGTCATCCGGCGGAGATCGTTGTGGAGAGTCTTCTGGAGGAACTTGGGTAGCAAGCTGGTAGTCGTAGCCCTCGCCGTCTGCGTCATGGCACACATCGCTGCTGCCGTGGCAGCCATGGGTTCGCATTTCATCGCCGACAGGGGCCTCTGCGGCTGCTGGTACTGCCGCCGTTGCCTCCACAGGGGCCCCTCTGTCATGCCCCCCGGGCTTGCAAGCCGGTGGAGCCGCGCAAAAGGCTGCATGCGCGCCAACTGCGGCACCTTTTTCAACCAGCACGACTCCTCCATGTCGCTGTCGCTGTCCATATCTTCGATTGCAGAAGCTGCGACTGCCGTTGCTGCTGCCGTCATCACCCTTCCGCATGATGCAGTCGCAGCGTCTAGGCACGCGGTTTCGTGGGCCTCCCGGCCAGTTGACGTCTCCGAAACCTGACCCAGATCGCAGCCGCATACTGGGCAACGGCTGCTGCTCGTGCATTTATCTGCCGCGCATCCGTCAAGCGAGGCAGAATGTGACTGCTGGTGTGGCTGCCCTTGAGGATCTGGCTTTGGTGGGCACGGTTGTGTGCGCCGCCGTGCTGTGTTGAGGATTGGTGCAGGTGTAGCGCTTGCTGATAGGGTTGCGAATGCGGCTCTTGGAGCTGTTGTCCGGTTTGGCACATGTACCGCTGCAAGTAATGGGTTCGTCCCGGTGCACTGTTCTTGCGTGGGTTGGCGGACGGCTGGTCCGCTGGGGCGTGCATCCCGGACAGGAGCCGAAGCTGGTGCTGACGCCTGTCGATCCGATGCAGTAAAGGCGCCAGGCGTACAGCTGGTCGCGGGTGGGGCCTGCCTTGGCGTGAAGCCTGTCATGGGCGACGACCCAAATGGGGCAACGTTAGAATGACACGCGGGTTATCGTAGCGAATCTTACAGGCAGTAAATCTGTAGTGCTTTGTTCGCACAGGAGTAGGATGGCGGCAGGTGGGCGGTGAATGACATGCTATCGGTACGCTTGCCCATGAGGACATGCAGCTAGTTCACCAGGTTCTGCCCACCTGGCCATGATTGAGGGAAGCCGTCCAGTTGTCCGTCTGCTGGAGTTCTTGGTCCTGATGAAAGGCTTGCAATTTTTGATGAGCTGATGCCGGGGCAGGCTCCTTGGCGAGTGGCTTGCTTTCCATGCTTCGCTGCGGAAAGCGGGGCTCCTTGTACAGCTGTTTTGCCCACGGATGCTTGAGCCTTCACATCTTGTCTTTGCCGACGGCTAGCTTGAAGCGGTGGAGCGCTTAGGCGCTTGCGTTTTGGCCCGCCAGCAGGTGCCGACACAAAATCATCACTATCAGAGAAGTCGGACATGTGAGAATGGACGGTTACGATCACTTCGTTTGGCTTGTGGAGGCCAAGAACCTTTGTGCCAGGTAGGACAGCTTCCGCTGCTGCTATATATCATAGCCTTGATTTCCGTTAACCGCTACATATATATTGAGTTTCATATTAAGCACACGTAGAAGCAAGCGTGCTCATTGGTTTTCCTCAATGCTGTAAAGGGTCCCGGAGCGCAAACGCATAGATCCAAAATGGAACCAACGTCTTTCCCTCTGGGCAGCAATTGACAGAAACCGTATAAGGAGTTAAGTAGGATGCTTACGATCTGGCTTAGACCATTAATACCGACGAGTGTAAGGTAGGCATGATGTCGCAGCTGCGCAAGCCGCGAGGGTTGGCCCGTTCAGCGGCTGCAACAGGATATCGACTTCGAAATCATTGTTATGAGATGCGGCACTCTGAAGTTCTGGGCTAATTCAAGTAAACTCCTACAGGTAGTTGGTATGCCAATGGCTACCGGTATGCCACATATTGCACTCGCTTTCCACCTGCGCAGAATAATGCAATATACCGAAACACAGCTTATGTTACACGGTTTACATTGGGTTGCCAAGACATAGCCTCCATATTCGCAACACTCGATGCACACAAGCCACCACTGAACGCCAAGCACGTTTCCTTGGCCCAACATCCATGCTGGTGTCAAGGCAAACGAATGATGCCTACCAACGATCCGTCACGGTAGCAGCCAAGGAGGATGAGCTCGGGCATGGGTGAGCAGCTCACCGTGAGCTCCCATACGGTATGCCGGCCGGGCGGGCGCCCTGTACAGGCCACAAAGCCCCAACCATGACATGTGCATGGTCCAAATGCCGATTGCTGCTGCCTCCTCACGCCTTTCTCGCCTACCGTAGCACCCCAAGAACCAAGCGATCCTCCAAACACATACCATAACCCGCAAAGTGCTCTTCCTATCTAAGCTATTGTGCAGCGCTACGGTATTCCTTGCTATCCCCAGCAAGGCCATACCGGTACTAGGCCAATGAGCTGTTAGTAGTAGCTAACTAGTAGTGCGACAATTGGCAAGACAGGTATTAGTGCTTCCGAAGGACTAAAAAGACCCTGCGTGGGACATCACACGGAGCTAGGTTGAACACCCCACTTTTGCAACGCCACGTCCATAACAAAACACAAAGCAAGGTAAACAGTAAACCCGCATCCGCATGCCAAGGAAGGAGGCAAGCTAGCCGCCAAAACATGGGGCATGGGGCGAGACATAGAAGTAATGACAAGCAGTGTCATGAGTCCGACCATACCACAGCTACCAGCGCATGGCAAACTCCTAGAAGCAGCGGCAAGCAACAGGCCGCAGGGGCTAAGCAGTGCCAAACAGCACTGCATCCGGGGATGAAGCATGTAAGGTGACCAGTAGCCTGCAGTAGCTACAGCAAAAACAACAACACGTGCCTGCCCCAAACAGTCATCAACACGGCTCAGTGCTTTTCATTCATCCCCAAACTATGGCATCCTCCTACTGCACTGACAGTGTTGGGCCGGCAAAATGCCTCCAGCTGTTACTTAAAACATGCTACACCTGCAATATGGCAATAGAATATAATGGCAATAACCGTTGACATAGACAATGCCTCCAGTCAACCTAAGCATATAAAGGGCTTACGTTGCAAAAGTCAACACAACCATCTGGGCATAGCTTCTTCCGCCCTGCTAGAGTACGACACCTGTATGTACGATCAGTCCCAAGCCAGTACCCGCTCACAATGACGGTTATCCTAAAATGCCTGCATCCTAAAGACCCCAACAATGCACACCCGTAACGCCCGCTGGCTGTAAGTTCAATTCCAAACAGGGCGGCTAGCTCCGCTCATCCGCCTTCCCTCACCCCTGTGCAGCACCCTGAGCAGCCCCCTGTCGCCGCACGCACGCCTCCTTATGCCCCGCCCGCCAATGCGCCGTCTGGCACTCCCGGCAGCAGTACCACGCCCCTCCACACCGCGCGCACGCCTTCAGCGGCAGCTCCGCCTCGCTGTCCCCCTTCAGGTTGACACAGGCGGGGTTGCTGCACGTGCGCAGCAGGCGGCGTGCCTCCGCCGGCGGCACCAGGAACCGCCGCATGACCCCCACCACGTCCGGCACCGACATGCCCCGCTCACTAGCCCGCTGCCGCAGCCGCTCCGGCACACAAGTGAAGCCCACGGCACTGCCCCCGGCGCCTCTGTCAGAACCCCAGGCCTCCAGCCGGCCTGCCAGCGCCAATGCGGCGTCTGCCGCTTCCCCACGCCCGCTCTGCAGCAGCTTCGGCGCCAAGCCGCGCACCAGCACTGGCGGCCAGCCGAACACCGGCGGCGCAATGGTTGCCTGCTCGGCCTCCCGCACTGCCGCCTGCACCTCCTGCGGAAAGGCACCCGCCACCACGCCGCAGCAGTCCAGGAGCTCAGCTAGGTCCGCCCCCTTGTCCGACGGAAAGCAGCTACAGAGGTGCAGCAGCGAGCCCAGCAGCGGCACCACCGCCACCTCGCGAAGCAGGAAGGAAACCCAGCTGCCGCCGCCGCTGCTGCTGCTGCTGCTGCCCGCGCAGTCTGCATCGCCGCTGCGGCCCTTGCAGGACAGCGCCAGCCCAGATAGCCAGCGCGCCAGCGGAGCAATGTACGTGCCCCAATTCCCTGGCTCCTGAGGGGGTCCAACAATGGCACACTGCAACACCAGCTGCCGGAGGAGGAGTGAGGCGGTTGGCAGCCACTCGCATACCGCAAAGGAAACCAACCGACCCAGTTGCTGAAGCCCCGCTGGCTGCCCGAAATCATCGCCAGCAGGGGCGCCCTCGGGCGCCAGGGTTTCAGCTAGCGGACCGGACGCCAACTCTTCCATGTGCTCGAGAATGACGCCCGTGCAGTTCTTGGCGCAAGCAGACAGATATCCTCTCTCAAGCCGCAGCAATTTGGCGTGTGTCATCACCCACGATGCCGCCTGGCGCGGTCCAGAATATGTAAAGAGGTCGAGCCAGGTCTTGGCTTCCCTTACGAGGCCTCCATCCAAGAAAGTATGAAGGATTTGTTCCTCGCGGCATTCCGAGCCAACTTCCGCGCTGTGACGCCGCAACAGGCTATCCAGCCAGGGCAGCAGGCCAGCTGCGATTGCTGCGGCCACAGACGGGCGAGGTACCGGTGACGGCGCCCAGCTGGATGAGGCTTTGCCTGGAAAGGATGTGTCATGGAATGAAGGGTACGTTTAGCGGACCAGACCGAACGGACCAGAGAAAAGGGCGACATGGCTCATGAACAGCAGATAGGGAAAGCCAAATGAAGACCAGAAGTGCGCGCCTTGGAATGACAGGCGCATCCCTTTACCGGTACCACAACCTACCGTGTGGATCCCATGGGCTCAGCGCCTCTTGGAGCGCTTCCCCCAGTCCTCGGCAGGTGCTTTCATCAGCATGCAGGCAGACATGCCGACCTACATCCATCGCCAAACGCCATAACTCCGCCATAAGCTCCGTCACATGCCCGCTTGTGGGGATTGTCGACCAGGCCAGCGCCAGAGCTTGAACCGCAATATCCGAAACGTGCTCCTGGCGCAGCACTAGGCGGCTGGTTCGCGATGCAGTACGGCCAGCCAGCGGTGCCGGCAATGCGCCAACGTCAGTTGCAGCAGTCCTTGAAAGTGGAGCAGCCGCCGCCGCACCAGCAGCAAGCTCGGCGGCAGCTGGGCCATCAGGCTGCAAGTTGCCGCGTCGCAGCATAAGGCGCAGGAGGCGAAGTGCCAGCGTGTGGGCGGCCTTGCGGTGCAATGGCTGCTTTGACTGCCTGCGCAAAGCGGCCAACATCGCCTTGAAGCAGACCGGGTCCAGCTGCGGCTCTTGGCCTTGGGCCGGTGCGGGAGTTGACGCCAGGGCCCCTAAGGGCTCAGTCAGGATGGGCAGCCTCCCAAGCAGGTCCGGCTGCAGGCCGTAGGCGGGGCCATCATCATCCTCGCATAAGAGCGTTAAGCCGTGGGCCACTGCCACGTGCTGAGCACAAAAGCCCTCAGCTGCGGCAGACAACGCGACAAAATCGTCTGCTTCGACAAAAGCAGTTAAGAACAGGAACGACGCCTCTTCTGCTTTCTTGGTTCGGCCGCCTTCAGCTGCAGCCCATGTATGGTAGGTAAGCAAGGCTCGCGCCGCATGCTCCATGGGGCAGCTGTCCCTAAGCACGGAGCCGAGCCGGATGTAATACTGTTGCTGCTCTTTGACGCCTGCAACCCGTTCCCAAGACAACATCCGGAAGGAGATGCATATCATGCCAGCAAGCAGCGTTAAGGCAGGCAATACCGCCTGGCTGAACAATGTCTCCAGTGGCAGCTGCTGAATGCCCTCCTTGCGCGAGTTTAGCAGCCACTCGGCCGCGGCAGCTAGCTGACGGCCACAAGCTTGCACTGTTTGCATGCTGAAGAGCTTCCGCACGAAAACGAGCGGCCCTAGAAGTTTAATGGTGTCTGCTTTTGGAACGCATCGGGGCAGATACGTCATGAACATGAGCAGGTTGCCAGCCAGCATAGCGCCCTCCACCACAATTTCGTCCACGAAGCCATCGCCATGACATGTGCTTGGCAGTATTCGCACCGCCTCCGCCGTAAGCCTTATCAAAAATGAACGGACTCCGGGGCATGTTACTATGGCTGCGGAGGCGGATGCCCTGCGCTCTGTAGACAGTGACCCCACAACTGCACTGATCTCCGCAAGCTGCTGTCTAGCATTTTCCATGTCTCCTTTAGAAAGGCTACTTGTAACGGTTGCTTCCATAGGCAAACTATGGGCTACGTCTGAAAGCGCCTGAAGGGCGGCCTCCACCGCGTGAGGGACTTCCAAGTCATCCATATTCCGTATGACCTGTGAGCTTTTTTTTATAATCTCCTGTCCTTTGACCATGGCATAGACCTGAGCCAACTTAGTGTGGCCTTACTCTCCGAAACCATAGGGATCCCAACACACAACAAGCCCAACACGGGCAACACTCCCTAGGCCCCCTACTGCCCAAAACCCCTTACAGCACCAAGCAACGAGCACAGTCCACGTTTGCAGTAAAGCCTATGCTTAGCAGCGAAATTCTCGCTCTATGGCTAGGCCGATGAGCTGATACGGCGCTGTGCAGACTACACGTCAAATGGATCGCGATGATCGTAACATGCACAATGGAAACACAACGGTAGCAGCAATTGCACCGGCGGTAGCAGGTGGGTGGTGACGTTGTTATCGGTGGATCTTAGGGGTGGTCTGGTTTGCGTATAAATAACTGGCCGCGAGACGAAACGTACTGTAATTGCCGAAAGATGAAGTCCTCCCACTGAAACGGTGGTGTGTAGAGTTGAGCGGAAAACAATGTACGGGACGTGTGGGGCGGGGTCCTACTTCACTACCTAGAGGGGGCTCAAGGGGCGGGCATGGTGGGGCCTGCCTGCTGTGGCTGCATGCGCGTGCCGTACAATACGCAGATCTAAGGGAGCTCTTGGTGCCTGCAGAATTGGATTCTGGATCTGGTTTCTCACCAGAAAGGCTCCGACTCTTGATGAAACCGCTGGCGACCCAGATGGCCGCGAGCAAGGGACGTCTAAGGGAGGTAACAGGCGGCGGGCTGGAGAGCGGCGGCAGCGGTGGCGGCAGGCGTTTCCCCGGCAGCTGCGGACGAGTGCGTTGGCGGCGCTGTATCCACCGGGGGAGGTGGTGGTGGTGGTGGCTGCGGGTTTGGTTTCGGAGGAGTTGGGGCCGGTAGGGCGTGTTCCTCCGGGCTTGGTGGCATTGGTGACAGACAAGTGTACGTGTTCCGCCCGCACATGGACGGGAGGTGCGGGTGAAAGAGATTCATACCACGGAGGTCTGGGCTTTGCAACCCGTGCAACGTAAGGGGAGGGTATGTACTGTAACAACGGTCCTAAAAGGCCTCTCCAGATGTCGTGAGGTTTCCCTTTAGGACTTGCTACCATGTACAGTGGGTGAGTACAAGTGCACATAACGTATTGAAGGGGATTCTGATCTGGGACTTGATTTTTGGACACAACTGCTGGTGTGCATTGAGAAGGCGGGCGGGGCTGGGGTCATGTTGTGTGGGGAGGCGCATACCTACACACTGCACTTGAGAACGTCAGGGGCCATGTTCATGGACCTGTGATGTCAAGGGGATGGTTTGTAACCTGGTCGGTTCCCGCCATAGTTAGTCGAGAATGCATTTTAACTAAGTCTTCAACGTAGTCGTAGTTCGCGTCTGATAAGGAGTACACAAGGCAAGGCACTCTGGCTGTATGTAGGTATGTGCAGCAATGGCGCCATGCATATGGTGATTGAGTACCTTTTCCTACCCAGTAGCTCTGCCGATGTCCAAGCATGGGAAAGGAGCACGGGAAACACACGCATCCCATGCGAGTCGGAGGCCCAACGGATAAAAGTGTTAACGTCTCAAAGCGCGAACAAGTCCAGCTACATCCGAGCTTTCCATGCCGCTGATGGGTGCCATGTTGCAAATAGAATATGAGGCCCGAGCTCGGAGACAATTCTTTGGTTGCTAGCACCTGGCTGCCGGGCAACCAAGCTTGTTAAGCACAATAGAATAGGGTAAACAGATTAATAGGAGAACACGTACAGCAGCAAGGCAAAGGGCCTCCATGTTCCCATTTAGTGCTAGCCGTACTACAGTACGGCGACCGCCGGCGACTCGCCGGCTTGAACCTTCACGCGGCGAAGGGCAGATTCTCTTTCCGGCTGGCGCCACCCAGGTAGGAAGCACTGCTAAAGCAGTTTTAGCCATTTTATAGAAAGCTAGGCGCCGCCAGACTGTTAGCCACTTGGTATCCTTTATGACTGCTGCTCCACTCCTCAGAGTGTAATAGAACATAATACGCTACCCGTGAGAAGGAATATTGCGTTTTGTAGCGGAGCATTGTTGTTCGGTGGTGGCCTCCCCTTGCATGGCTAGCAGCAGTCTCAGCGACTTGCGTTTTGCGTTGTCGCAGGTGAGCAGCTTTTACAAAAATGAAGCTCAACATTGCCTACCCGGCCACCGGCTGCCAAAAGAAGCTGGAGGTGGACGATGACGCCAAGCTGCGCGCTTTCTACGACCGGCGCCTGGCCGCCGAGGTTGATGGCGAGGCTCTTGGCGAGGAGTTCAAGGTGGGACCTATAGAGTGCAGGAATGGAGCTAAATATGCAGCAGCAGTCGGCTAGGCGCCGCCGGCCGCCCTCGGCATTGAGCAGATAAAGGTGCCTCTGCTAAAATTTGATTTCTTTACGTTTGCTAATTAACAGGGCTACGTGCTGAAGATTGCTGGTGGCCAGGACAAGCAGGGCTTCGCCATGAAGCAGGGTGTCCTGACCAACCAGCGCGTTCGCCTGCTGATGACCCCTGGTGACCAGGGCTTCAGGGGCTACGGCCGCCGGAAGGGTAAGTCACACTCCTTCGCTTATGGGGGATCTTAAATATTCGGTTTCCTTCATGTTGCTTGGTAGTATCACCGGCCGATAACTTTCCCAGCATAGTCTTCAAATATATCCAAGCACCAGCGCAACAATTACCCCTAAGCATTACAGTCGATAATCGGCATATGGCTGGGCGAGCGCTGCTAGCCGATGTCGGCGCTGTGGCATGTGAGGCGCGATCGGACCGCATGGGCAAGGCAGATCAGCGCTGGCGGCAATCGCACTCCAGCCCGCTGGCGTGGACGAAGTTCGAAGCGTTGGGACGCCGGGCGCTGTAGCATCGCTAACGCTTCACTATTGCTCTTGGCAGCGGCATGTCGTGGGGCGGCCCCCTCCGGCACATGGCTCAGCACGTGTACAGCAGCAGCAACATATCCAGGATCAGTTGTATTTCCATGGAGCTTGGCGGAAACCATCCAGCCCAAAGCAGTTAACATTTAGTTGCCGTACAGGTGGCAGACGCAGCAGCGGAGAGGTCGAAGCTACGCTTTCTTTGTATACGCCTCGTTACCTCACGTTAGGATTCTGGATTTGGCCAGGGGAAATTGATAGACATGTTCACTGGGCAGCAGGCGCGCTACGGGGCTGGTTTGGTCTGCTGCTGCGCAGCCTATCCATCCTAGACGTACTATACGCAACGCGGCATTGCCATATGTTGGGCCCACGCCAGCCTTCCTCATTTTTGCAATACAGCTGACAGACCGACCCAGGGGCCACTAATTGCCTACAACCGAAGGCTCGAACCTACCTATCAATGCAGTTTTTTTGCCACTCCCGGCTAGCTTTAGACATGCCTTGCTCACCTTTCCTCTGCTCATCTCTGTGCTGCTTCTGCAGGCGAGCGCCGGCGGAAGTCGGTCCGCGGCTGCATCGTGTCGCCTGACCTGTCGGTGCTGAACCTGGTGATCGTCAAGAAGGGCGAGCAGGAGCTGCCCGGCCTGACGGACGAGGAGAAGCCCCGCATGCGCGGCCCCAAGCGTGCTAGCAAGATCCGCAAGATGTTCAACCTCTCGAAGGAGGACGACGTGCGCAAGTGAGGCGGTCAAGCTGATGGGGGCGGGGGGGATATGGGGCATGTGCGAGTGATGATGTGGGTCAGCGGTGTTGCATGGTCAAGCTGCTTCTGTTCTCCGGCATGGACCGTACGGCAAGATGACTTAACATCCTCGATGCCCTTCTGCTGACCCGTAGGTACGTCACCATCTACTCTCGCGAGCGGACGGACAAGAACGGCAAGAAGCACCGCAAGTGCCCCAAGATCCAGAGGTGGGCAGGGAGTAGAGTGCATGGGGTATGTGTGTTGGGTGGTGCAAGTAGGGGGCCTTCTGCTCAATGCCATGCACATTGAATCAGCCCAGGTTAAGTGCATATGAGCTTAAATGGAGGTCCATGGGAAAACTACGCATGGGTAGTGCACGTCACCCGTCCTGCCACGTGATCACAGTATCAGTGACAGGCATCTAGTGGCTATTGTAAACACCATCTATAAGGTGTTACGACATCAACCTGCGTTTCATCACTTCATGCTCTTTCAATCTGCCACCGCATCTTCACGTTTTCTCGCCTGTCCGCCCCTCCTCCGCGGTCCCGCAGGCTGGTGACCCCCGCCGCCCTGCAGCGCAAGCGCGCTCGCAAGAGCCTGAAGAAGCGGCAGCAGGAGAAGAACAAGGCGGAGGCCGCCGAGTACCACAAGCTGCTCATGCAGCGCCTCAAGGAGCAGCGCGAGCGCCGGTAAGAGGAGGAAAGAAGCTGAGGGCACAGGATGGTGGTAAAGGAATATATTAACGGGGAAATGTTTGGAATTTCCAACTCGGTGATGGGGCACGAGTTAGAAAGGGTGATCCTAGGTATTGCTTTTGTTGCTTCGCTTCTCCTAAAACGCATCTTTTCTTCCCGCCCCTTGCCGTACAGCTCGGAGTCGCTGGCCAAGAAGCGCGCCATGCGCATGGCCAGCCAGGCCTCCAAGGAGGCTTAGTAAGCCTCGGAAGCTGCAGCAGCAGCCTGCGAGCAGCAGCAGCACCTGCCGTCCACCTATGCCGGACTGTGCGTGCAGCGGCGTTCCGTCGTGGCCGCGGCGACTGCCGCTGCTGCTACAGCTCCGCACTCTCTGCGTCGCTGTTGGTTTGGGGAGGGAGGTTTGATATAGCGACGTAGTGGAAAGGTGTCGGTGGTGCGTGGTATTGTGTGGGACATTGGGGTTATGGCAGGACCTGAACCGGCACCACATCGGTGTTGCCGTGTGTTGCACCGGCGCTCGGGAGATGTAATTTCGGTTTTGCCGACTGACTGAAAGAGTCTGGTTATGAACACGCAAAACGCTGCATCATACCCACACCACGAGAAACGCAGAGAGGCAGTCCAACCCTAACCCTAAAACCCCAGTTACGGCTTGGTTCTGTTTAATTTAGCGGCATTCAAGTGATAGGCAACATCAAGTGATAGGCAAGGTGCGGACAGCCGCTAAATCGCACATATCCAGCGAGCCTCCTTGCCAGCATCCGTGACCTTTAGCAGTACTTTCTGAGAAACAACTTTTGAGCCCCATCATTGCCACTTTCCGAAGAGCTGCTGTGCTGAAGCCCGAATACTTCGCAGGTTACACCCATACGTGGCACACACAATCTGCAGCACACGTGCTTCCGTCACAGTCATGCAGCATAAACCTAAAACACTTTTACAGCCTCCTTCCAGCACCGTCACGGGGGCTTGTAAGGGCAATCATGTGTTGGCAACAGCTCGTCCTTACTGGCACACGACCAACACGCAAAAATCCCAAATTGGCGCGGTATATAAATGGATGACAACTGCATGGGTGGCATCAGAAAACTACCGAAACCCGTGAACTGGAAAGACCCAAGCCCACCAACAGCATCATGCATGACTGCAGATTGCAAACTTCAGACAATTCGCACGGTCGGTTACGGAACAACCCGCCGTACAGCCCCTGCACTTGTCCACAAAACAGCTCGTAAAACGCAAAACGCATTCCTCGCGACAAGGAAGAAACGCAACAGGCAGGGTATGAAGCCTTTTAAACCAAATTATGATGTGTACACATGGCACCATGCTTCCGCACTGATACCCCCCTGCTGAAACTGGAACGTCCTGCATACAAGTACTCATAAGACCAAAGGTCAATGACCCATGGTTCACAAAACTGGGTGCTTTTCCAAATCGTTGCTCGTCCAACCAACAATGGCAATCAATGATTACGCAGACATATACGCACTACTTCAAATCACAGCTAAAGAGTAATACATAGCGGCGCTCCCAACCGACAAAAAGAACGCAAGGTCTCAGTGGGTTTAAGAATCCTGAATCAACAAGCCTGAATCATAAATCCTTTGCGCCATGCAGCCCGCTCTACACAGCGGGAAAACTGTATGCGCTTGCACCTCTCATGGGGCCATGTCCACTACCACACCACCGCAACCACCGCTCCCAAAACACACCTCACATCCCTACTTCCGCATCGCCTCATTCGCCGCCAACCCAATCCCAACCATGCCGATACCCTCACCAACCGTCACGCAACCGCCATCCCCACCATCTCCCGAGGACGAGGGCGTTGTTACCAAGCCCGCCAACGACGTCCCAACCGACGGCTGCTGTGACAGCGGTTGCGGTTGCGGCGGTTGGGCTCCCCGCGAGGAATTGCCGGCGGAGGGGTTCCGTACGGAGAGGTCAAGTCCGGGGCCGCCGTTAGCCCGGCGCTCCATGTCGTACACCGCCATCAGTACGTCACTCTTGGTAGGCACCTAGGGGGCGTGGGAGTTGTATACGAGGTACAAGGGGTATAAGAGGTATGTGGTAGGGGGTAACCTTCCCACGACCCAGCTTTACCCCTTACCTTGGAGCTGTGCACGTTGACCGCTCCCGGCGCGTTGAACTGCCCGCACGCCGCCAGATCCATCCCCGCCGCCTCCTTGTCAGCCCCCACCCGCAGCAGCCCCGCGCGCCGCAGGCACCAGAACAGCCCGGCCATGTTGGCCGCTGACCAGCCAGCAATCACCGCGATCGCAATCACCTGGGGGCAGGGAGGCATGGGGGCATGGGGGCAGGGGGGGAGGGAGGCATTCGCACGAGCGAGGGCGTGGTGGCGTGGGGGCAAGAGTGCGTTCGAGCGGGCAAGATGGGAGCCGGGTGGGGCACGGGACCATGCGCACCCCCGCACCGCCTGCGCATGAGCGCGTGTGATCTGGAAGCCGGGCGAGTCAGCAGCAGCAGCAGCAGCGTCGAAACCAGCCACCGTTCCTACGGCAGGCGCCTATCCTCCTCCCAAGCACCATCCCCTTCCCACCTCTCCTCCCCCACCTCCTCCCCATCCCCTCGTCCCCACCCCTCCGCGCACCTGACACAGCAGCAGCTGCGCATGGCCCCCATAGAACAGCCCCATGCGGTGGTGCCCCGCCGCGATGCCGTACACCTGCTCCACGTAGCTCTCCCGCGCCATTAGCCCCACCCACAGCAGCCCCCAGGCGCCGCAGCAGCCGTGCAGCGGGAAGGCGCTGACGGGGTCGTCCACCCGGAGTACCTCCAGCAGGGCCTCGCCGCCCTCGCAGACCAGCGCGCCGATGCAGCCGCAGATGATAGCCGCCCTGAGAGGGTGGAGGGGGGGGGGGTCAGATTAGGCCAAACCATATGAAACCACAAAAAGGGCAAATTGGGCCCTGAGGGGGGTGGGTCATGTTTCCAGCCCCTTGCAAATTACCCCGGTACGTAACCCCATGTGCATTGCCCCTTCCATGCTCCCCCTGCTCCCTCCCCTCCGCTCTCACCACGGCTCCAGCACCGAGCAGCCCGCCGTCACGCTGACCAGCCCCGCCAGCGCCCCGATGCATGTGGTCAGCAGGTCCCACAGCCGGTGCCGTACGTAGCCCAGCAGCAGGCAGGTGAGCGCGCCGGCGCAGGCGGAGAGGGTGGTGGTGACGGCGGTGCGGGAGACGACGGTGGCCTGGGGGGGGGGGAAAGATGGGAGGAAGGGGAACGGGAATGTGGAGGAAGAAAATGCTCATCAGGTGACTTATCGTGGTTGTGCCGTTAGTCGGGCAAGCTTCACTGCTTCTTAGTCTTTTTCTTTCCTTCCCATACCCCAAATCCTTACCGAGCTGTAGGTGGAGATCTCCAGGCGAGATCCAGGGTTGAAGCCGTACCAGCCAAACCACCTGCGCCAGGGAGGGAAGAAGAGGGGCCGGGTCCGAGGTCAAACAATACGACCGGGTATACAACCGGGTTGACAGCAACAGCCGCACGGTAGTTAAGCTCCCCGCTTTTTACTTACCCCCCAATCTCTAATTTAACCCTTGCCTTCCCGCTTCCCCCGCCCGCCCACCCGCCCGTCCCCCTCCCACCCGACTCACAGCAGCAGTGTTCCCATGAGGTACAGCTGCGGCGCCGCAGTGGCCCGGTAGAGCTGGCTGGAAGGCTGGCGGGAGGAGGGGGAGGAGGAGGAGGAGGGGAAGCGGCCCACGCGGGGGCCCACGAACACAGCGGCTACCAGGGCCGCCATGCCGCCTACCAGATGGACAACTCCTGGGAGGGCGGGGGATAAAGATAAATGCACCAACGGAGTCCCAATCCCGGATGCAGTGAGCGCATTCGGAGACCCTATCCTAGAAACACAGGGAGGGGGGGAAAATTATATAAAAGTGAAACAACGAATCCCAATCCCATGGGGGAGGGAGCAAGGGGGAGGGGAAGGGGGCGTTCATAGGCAACGTCATCCGTTCCGAAGGAAGCCGCACACGCCTAGTGAAGCCCTGTCACAGCACACGGTACGTGACGCCCTGTCACAAGAACCCATTGTACTCCTTCATCAGGTAACCTCAACCTCAACCTCAACCTCAACCCGCCCGCCCCCCCCACCTGATCCCGCATAGTCGATGGCCCCCACCCCCAGTATCCGCCCGCCCTGCTTGTGTGCCCCCAGCCAGCCCTGCGGAGACCACAGCCAATGAGCCACCACCGGGTACACCCAGGCGGGCATGAAGGCCTGGGGGGGGGGGCGGGGGGGAGGGGGAGGGATAGGGGGGGTGGAAGGGAGGATTTAGGGTTTTGAAACCCTAAAACCTAAAAGAGGAGTACACCCGGGCGGGCACGAAGGCCTGAGGAGGGGGCGGCCGGGATGGGGAAGAGGGATGAGGAGGGGGCAAAAGACTGGGGGGGGGGCAAAACCCAATGTGTTGTATGGGGAGGGGGCGGCCGGGAGGCGGATGCGTTTCTGTGGGGACTTCAACTTCCGGCAATAACAGTATGTTCCGACTCACGGCCCGTTTTCTTAATAAGTATAGAGATATGTGTCAACTTGTCACGAAGTGAAAAGTTCACTTATTGCGCAAGCTACCGATCAGCGTGAAAGCGATGTCGTACATTTCAGTGGTCGGTGGCTTTCTCGCAGAGGCTGTGCCTGGTTTCTTAACTTGCCACAGTACCACTTCATAGGCAAGAGGTGCCGTCCTTCTGCCAGGACGGGCCCTATGAACCCACCCACCCACCCGTGTAGCCAGCGCCGGGCGCCGTATAGGGACGGCTGTTTTTCCTGGCACTATGGGTTTGGGCTCGCCTTGTGTGGCTCGGTTATCCTGGTATCCAGCCGGCAGGCCCCACCGGGCGCCGCTCCGGGCCGGTGGCGCATCACCTTAGGTCTAGGGTTATGCTGAGTTCAGCGTGTCGTTTGTTGCGTTGTCACCCAACCACCCCACGGGCCGCGCCGGGCGCCGGGTAGGGCCGGCAGCCGGTCCCGCTGGTGGCGACAGGTTGGGTGGCACGGTTTGTGTTGCCGGGGTGCACACGGCGGCCTTCTGCCGGGGATGCACCCGCGGGCTAGGAAGTGCAACCTTGCTTGGTACAGTCGGCGACTTATGCAAATTAAATAAATGGGGGTTCGTGAGTGGTCCCAGGTGGACCGGACAATGGGACATGTTGTGGGTTCCGCTGTAACGCTGGGAGGTAGCGAGCAATAAGTCGAGAATGCGAGTTACACAATTACCGCAAAACGAGGGCGATCGATCCGCCGTACCGCGTAAATGGTGTACGACGCGAAGGTTGCTCGTTCCGCGATGGAGCCCGACAGGATGGTGGTTGCAGCGGAGCAGAAGGACCAGTTCCACACGAACAGGTGCCAGGGGAGGGGGCCGGAGGGCTGGCCGGGGCGGCCGTCGGTGGCACTGAGCGCGAAATCCCAGTAGCCGATGAAACCTGAAAAGGGTTGAGGTATGAAAAGGTTGAGGTATGAAAAGGGTTGAGGTATGAACAGGGTTGAGATGTGACGTGTAAAGTGGTTGAAGGGGGAAGGGACGTGTGTGGGGATTGGGAAGGCGTCGATATGGATGAACCCCTCGCTTTACGATGGGCCGTGTGGACTTCTTCTTTGCAACGGTAGGTGATGCAACGCGTACGGTAGAGTGCAAGCGACATGGACACGCGCTCCCTTTGCGGCTCCTTTTCTCCTGCCGTCCACTCCAACCACCACAACCACCTCCTGCCGTACTTACCGTTGCCTCCCGTGCCGCTCCGGGTCCCGAAGGCGAACGCGTACCCGATCAGGTAGAACGCGATGCCGGCGATGCAGGTGTCGAAGAAGTTCTTGAGGAAGATGGACACAATGTTTTTGGGACGAACCACTCCCGCAGCAAACAGCGCGAAACTGGGAGGAGGAGGAGGAGGAGGAGGGGAAAGAAACAAAAAAGGATATGAGAGGTGAGGCACAGTCCCAGAGGAGGAAAGGAGGGAGGGAGGTTTAGGAAAAGGCGGGAATGAAGCGCCCGGAGGGAGGAAGGGAGAAGGCGGGGAGGAAGGAGGGAAGGGAGAGGGTGAGAGGTTGCTCTTGACGAGGACAAGCCCCAAGCCAGAGCTCAGCACTGTACAATCAGGAACAGGCTGTAGGAGGCGGTTATACGGCAGCCGGGTAGAATAAGAACTCAAGCGTCCGGCCCTACCCCTTTCGCCCCAATCAACTCCACATAGACTTACCCAAGCTGCATGACGAAAACCTGTGAAGGGGGCCGGCACACGGAGGGCGTACGGAAAAGGAGGAGGGAGGGAAAAGTGGGAGGCTGAAGTGGACCAGAAGGGAGGCAGGAAACGAGGAAAGTACATTTAGTATAGAACTAGCTCCGAAACGGGCAGTGATCTGCGTTGCTCGACATTCCGCAAGTTGCGTGCTAATCTGTGCCAGGCCCAGACGTCCCATCCGCGTTTGCGTTTTCCCACCTGGTAGGCCGACGTGAGGACGAAGCTCACGTCCAATCCGTGTTCCACTTGTTTTAGCTCATCTTGTGTTTGCCGCAGCTGTCCCACCATCCACTGGGTTACTGCGGCATCAGGTCCCAAACTCGCAACGGCCAGACCGTTGCAAATCGACGAGGCATCGACCGCACTATTTCCCACGAGCTGTAGGACGCGCGAGTAATCCGAATTACTGCAGCCCGACATCTACATAATGGTAAATGAATGTGTTGGAAGCGGATTTAGACGGTAGCTAGAGGAGGCCTGAGCAGCGGCGGTCTTAAGTCGGCATGGGAAGGGGTTGAGTGCAAGGATAACCTAAGCAGGCGATGAATGCAAAAAGAGATAGAGGTAGGTGTCCGGCAAACAGCTTAATGGTCGCTTACGGAACTGAAGCGGACTTGCAAAGGCTTACCTAAACAACCCTCGAGTGTGTCGCAGTCACACCCTGTAGCCGCCGAAGCCCCCTCTACTCCGATGACAATGAGTACACAATGAAACAAGGGCCAGATGCTGTTAAGGCGCGTCCGCTGGTCTGCGCGCCGTAAGTTCCTGCTGTCCTCTCCCGATGTACCGATAGCGGAAAGTTGGTATTGCGACCTCCTGTGTCAAGCAAGCCGACAAGCGAACACTTTTGGCGATTTGGGATTGCTTAGAGTGAAAGTCGTTAATCTTTCTCGTTTCTGGTGCACCAGAGGGGCCACGTGAAAGTGACCCCAAGGGTTTCGTCGGCCATTTAGCCTAGGTTGGCCTAGAAAAAAACCTGCTATGTAGCATGATCTAACGAATCAGATAGCCAATGCGTTAAGGGCGCATTGTAACCTATATTCGTATCCTCAGGAGGCCACCCCCATCGCTCAGTGCGTAACGGTATCCTGTGCCCTCAGCGTCCTCTCGCACCAGTAATGCTTCGTGTCAAAAAGCTCGAGCGTTCCCGTAGGTTGCCAGGCGCCGCAGGTATCCACCAAACACCCTATATTATTTGTAAGCAGGATCAGATACTTGTGGCGGACGAAGTACCAGAAGAATTAAGCTATGTGTATGCTTAAAAGCAGTACAATGCATCTTAAGCTTTGCTCGGCACTTGAGCGCCTACAGTACAAGTTCGTTATTGCGGATCGTTGCGCCCGACGCACGCCAGTCCAATATCCACGTCCTAACCTCATAATGAGTAGAAACTGCTGAAGTTGTCGACAAGTCGCTAACACGTGTATATCGCTTACCGTAAGTGGCGCTTACGGATTGGTCGACCATGTCGGCATCACCCACGTGACTCGAGTATGGTTACATTCACTTACATAGGGAAATACAGCTGCATTGCCAGAATCACACGCTCGGACGGATAGGTGGCCTTTGTAGCAACTCGCTTGCGGCATTTGCCATGGCAAGGCTGGAATTGCGCCGTTCGGCTGTTTGCCGCCCAAAAACAGGCACTCCGACGAGGTTGCTGCCCCTGTTAAAAGCAGCTCAAAGATCTAGGAAAGCGGTTATGAGGCCGAGATGGCTTAATGGAAATGTTGCACGATGGCATCACGTTGGCCAGGGATGTACTACTGTTGCGGTAGTCAACTGTATCGCAACGCATACGCAGCGAGCATAAAGGACGGACAATGTAGATGCTCATGCTCCATCATAGAGTCACACATAGAGTCATTCGCCACCTCCTCCTTACATAGCAGCGGCTGTTGCAGCAGCAGCAGAACCAGCATGTTAGTATGCCTCAAATTACCGGTACCCCAAGATTCGGGTCTCCAGGGCTCAAGTACGGCAAGCACGCCCTGCCGTGTAAAGCCGTTACAGAAAATACGGCACAAACCGCCTCAATTCTCCTCCTCCTGATTCTCCTCTCTCTCCTTTAAACCTCTCCCAGGATTAGTCTTCTCTTCTTTTTGTTGTTTGTCCCTTCTTCCGCGGCTGGTGGGGTGCGCGACGAACCAGGCAGCCACCCAATGCACCCGCACCCAGGGGAGAGCGGAACGACACAATCGGTCTGTCTGAAGCAGCAGCAGCCGCAGCCGGTCTGAAGCAGCAGCCGCAGCCGCAGCCTTAGGGGCTCCACCTGTTCCAAACAGCCCAAATAGCCCAAACGCTGGTTGCGAGAACATCACAGTTGGCCTGATTAAGGCCTAACAACCACACAGCGCTCCCGCCGCATGGCTCTGAGCCGCACTGCATGTGCAATCCCCACATCACCCCGCCTCGGCCTCCGCTTCCCATGCCCTTCCTGGCAGCCATCCCTAACTCCTCCATCCTGTCTTCACTTCATGCCCTATCACCCTTCCACTCCTATTATAACGACGATTGAGACGAGCCAACACATTACCATCGCACGCGTGATTCACAGCGCTCTCCTCCTCACCTCCGCCTCTCTCCCCATGTGCCCCCACATCTCCGCATCCCTGATTCCCCGCGGCTACCCCCGCTCGTTATTCCCCGGCACAGCCAGGGTCCCCCGCACAGGACGTTCCTGTGCCCCCAGCAGCTGCGTCTTCACTTGTTTTGTGCCATGTGGGGTCAACGGCTGTCGAATCATGGGTGCATCGAGCATGAGCAATCAGGAGAAGAGTAATCAGAAGAGTAAGCCGGGTAATGTTCACACCCCTACAGCCGCCTGCTGCTGCCTGCTGCCTGCTACGCTTCGCCCTTTTCATGTTCATCACACACACCGGGGGCCCCTGGCGTATCACCCTTCCTTCTTGCATGCCTCGACACACCCCTCTCCCTTACTCACACCCCTCCTCACCCGCCCTGCTTCTCTCACCCCGCTACGAGCCATACCTACTTCACGCAACCAGCACTCAATTCATTCAAACCCCACAGCAATTCAACTCACCATTCGCCCTACACCGCCCCATTCACCAAACTCCACCCACATTACCAGTCCGTGTCAACCTCCTGCTGCTAGAGTACCACCTCACCGTACGACACTCCGGCAAACCCTAGAGCCACACAGCACCGCCCCAACCCCCACCAGCTTCTCCGTTGCTTCGCTTTTCAACTATTTTTAGCCCCACAATCTCCAGCAGCGCCTGTACTTCTCACCCAACAATCCCCAGCAGCGCCTGTCGTACCGGAGGCATGGCGACCAGCACCGTGGACAGGATGCCCACCAGCGAGTAGCTCAGCGCGCAGAAGGGCAGCGCCTCGGGCTCCTGGGGGGGGGGGCACAAAATTAATGATAAGTGATAAGTGCAGCAGAGGGGGAGGAGGAGAAGAGGGCAAGGAGAGGTGGAGAGGAGAAAGTGAGGAGGGAGAGGAGTAATCGACTTGTAACGACCGTTGCGGGAAAGGAGAGGGAGGGGAGATGAGAGAACAAGCAAACATCGAGGCGGGATTGAAAGGTACTACTCAAATACGGTACTCTATACCACATTCCTCCCTCTCCTCCTCCCTCCCTATCCCCCTCCCTTACAATATGACTATACCCTCACACATCCAGCAACAGCTATTTAAGCAGTTTTTGAATTACGGTTCAGGTTTGGTCACCTCTGTTTTGCCTGTACTCGCGGTTCACATGCAAACCTCTCCCAATTGCTTGCTCTTGTCCTACTCCACTACACACTCCTACAATCCAGCCAAATGTGGTCTTTCCAACCTCTCCTCCCCTGCCCTACCTTGGAGGTGAGCGAGGCGGTCCCCAGCCCCCCCGCGGTGGCCGCCGCTGCCAGCCCGCGCGCAATGGTGTCCTTGAAGCCCGCCAGCGTGAGCAGGTTGGGGCCAAAGTTGGCACCCAGCAGACCTGGGGGTTGGGGAGGAAAAAATGGGGAGGGGGGAGGGGGGGAAGCGGGGGTTGGACGGGGGGGGAGGTGGGGGGCAGGAGAGGAGGCGGTGGGGAAGGCGGTGGAGGTTAGCGCGGGGTGCTAGCAAGCAAGCATTACACCGCACTGCTTGGTGGTGGTTGAGGCCGTTAGGCGGGTGTCGTACGGAGCTGACGAAATGGCCCAAGCATGAGAGCGAGGGGGGTCAAAGACCTTATCAAACCATAGGAACCACAGGTTGGGGCAAGACAATGGGGATAGGAAGCGGCAGGGTGGCTCCAAGCCCTCCGCCCCAGTGCGTGTATGGTCGCGGCGCACCAGCAGCAGGACCATGCACCGTATACACCCCCTAGCAGACAGCCCACCCTCCTAAACAACCCGCCCTAAACAACACGCCCTACCCTGCAGCAGCACTGCCGCAGCGGTGATGGGCAACGGCGCGTCCAGCTGTCCCGCGATGGGCAGTGCCAGGGCGACGGTAACGGAGCGGGGGATGAGGGCGCGGGCCAGGTCTGCATGGGTAAGCGGGGAGGCAGGAAGGGAGGGAGGGAGGGAGGAGAGGGGCGGAAGGTAAGTAATAGAGCCGCATGAAAATGCGGATGGACTGAGAGGCGGAGTGATTGGCTGCATCCACAGAGCGATCATCCCCACCACCATCACCACCACCCACCCACCCACCTGTGCTGAGCACCAGTGCCTTGGCGGCGAAGGCGGTTGAGAAGAAGGAGAAGAGCGAGGAGAGCAGAGTGGCACCCAGGATCTCGGGGGCGTGGCGGCGCAGGGTCTCACGCTGGGAGGGAGGGGGAGAGGCGGGAGAGGGGAGAGAGCAGCAGGAGAGGGCTAACGCGTATGGGATTCTTCGCAGCCCGGTCTCTGTAAAGGGGTGGGAAGGGGAGTTAGCTAGGCCACTTAGAGGTCCGGTGCCATAGCGTGAGAGGAGTCAGGTGGTTCCTGAGTTGGGCTTGTTCGGGAGCTGACAACGTAACAGACCTCATCTCGTTCTCATCCTTTCTTCCAGTCATCATCTTCTGGTTCTTCTCCTACCGTCTCGGTAAGCACTTCCTCGAGGCTTCTCCTTTCTCTCGTCCCTTCGTTCCTCCCGCAGCCCCCCCCCAGCCTCACCTGCTGGTAGATCCTGAATCCAAAGCTCACGATCACACAGCCCAGGAAGGCCATCAGGAAGTCCCCCGCGCCCATCAGCCCCGTCCCCTTGGTGTGGTACAGCTTGAGGGCAGTGTCGTACGACACGCCGAACACGCTGCCGTGCAGGGCGGCACCGGCGTTGGCAACCAGGGCAGTCACCACCACGGGGTGCAGCAGACCCTGGGGGGGGGGTCAAGAGATATACCAGAACTGGTTACGGCAAAAACGGCGAAGCACTGGGGGATAGAGTGGGGGGGCCATGGTGAAGGAAAAGAGGAAGTGAAGCACTGCATAGCCTGTGTTGGATGTGCCATTTCCTTGTTCCTTTCCCCCACCCCCACCCCCACCCGACACACTTGGTTATCTTTCGGTTTGATCCCTCCCCACCCCACCCCCACCCCCCATCCTCCCAGTTGCTGCACACATCGTTTATTTCCCCACTCCCACCCTCCCCCCAGCCCCCACCCGCACCCCACCTGAAGCGTCTTGGGCACCGCATTCCCCAGCAGGTACCCCCCCACAGTGGCCGCCAGCCCAAACGGCAGCGCCATGCGAGCCCCCAGCTCCGACCCCGGCCCCCCCACAGCGGTGGCGGCCAGGGCGGCGGCGCCCACCGCCCCCCAGGCGACAAAGTGCGAGGGCAGGAAGGGCGAGGCGGGCTTGGCCTTGGTGATCTCCTTGTTCTCGGTGCGCACCACGGCGCGAATGAAGACGGTGATCTGGGGGGAAGGGTGAGGGATGGGGGGAAGGGCGGGGAGTAGAGGGGTAAGGGTGAGGGTGAGGGAAGGAGGGAGCTGCACGGGGCTGGTTATCAACATATTTAATTCCCCCCACACACACCCCTTCCCCCCTCCTCGCCCACCTGCGCGGTGAACAGCAGGGTGCCCGCCATGCCGGCTGACAGGATGAGCAGGATCTTGAGCAGCTCGGAACCTGGGGGGGGGATGGGAGGGGGGGGGGAGGGATTGGAAAAGAAGGAAACCCATGTGTTGGGGGAGGGATAGGGAGGAGAAGTGGGTGGAGGGGGAGCAAAAAAGAAATTCCAAAGTGTGGTGTGATAAGAGACGGGAGACGGGTGTTCGCATGTTATGAAAACTGGCCCGCATTCTCGTCCCTACCCGCAATCCCTCCTCCCTACCCGCGATCCCTCCCTCCCTACCCCCCTCCCTCCCCCCTCCCCCCTTCCCTTCCCCCGCGCGTTATTAGTGCCTCCGAATGCGCTCACTGCATGAGTCGGGATATGGGATTGGGATTCGTTGTTTCACTTAATTTTCCCCCCCTCCCTCCCTCACCCCCCCTCCCTCACCCGCAATCCCCTTGAGCGCCAGCGGCAGTGTCACCAGCGACGCCACGTAGAACAGCGGCAGCCACTTGGCAATCCAGTTGAGTGCGGGCGTGTAGAAGGACAGCACGCGCGAGGCGGAGGACTCGCCCACCGCCATCAGCACCGCCACGATACCGAACATGCCGCCCAGGGCGCTGGAGGGGGGAGGAGGCGGGGGGGGGAAGGAGAGGAAAACGTAGGCGGCGTGAAAAGTAGGCGGCGTGAAAAGGAGGAGATGGAAGTGAGGAAGAGTGAGGGAAGCGAAGGAGAAGAACGAAGCGAGGATGGCCACAGGCCTCCACACTTGCTTCCCCCCCCAAGGTCCCATCCCCTTCCCTGCCTCGGGGCATTGGGATTCGGATGCGCATTCACGACTTCTTCTGCCTCTGCTTCACCGCCCCCCTCCCCCTAGTTCACCGCCCCTTTGCCCCCACACATCAGGTCTTCAACACATTGGGTATTCTTCTTTTCCCCCCCACCTGGGGAATGTGATGCGTGTTGCCTCCCCCCACCTAGGAATTCCCCGCCCCTCCTCCACCGCCCCCCTCCCCCCACCTGGGGAAGGTGATGTGTGCCGCGGTGAAGACCTTCTTGATGGCCATGTCCAGGGCGTACAGCGTGCCTGGGGGGAGAGGGAGGGAAGGTGGAGGGGAGGGGAGGGGAGGGGGAGTGAGGGACAGGGGCAGGGAAGGACGTGCAGTTGGGGCTACAGCGCACTCACATCACCCTGCCACCCTGCCCGCGAGCAAGAGAGCGAGCGGGTGCCAGTAGTGCTCCGGCACCGGAGCTGTACTGCCACCATGCTACCTCCCTTCCGCCCCCCTGCCGCCACACGGCACCCTGTCTCCTGCCAGCGAACCAGGCTGCTCCCTCCCTCCCTGCTACCACTCTGCCTCCCAGCCCGCATGGCGCCACACAGCCCCCAGCCCGCCCCACTGCCACACAGACCGAAGGGAACCGCGTGCAGCGAGAGGGGTGTAGGGAGGCCTTAGGGAGGCACCAGCAGCACCCCTGCCTTTCCTCTCCACTCACATCGCAGCATGTCCCCCCTCACCTAGCCCCCCACCCTTCCCTTCTCTGCCCCAGATGCCCGGCTGCTCTACTTCCCTGCCCCCTCACCTAGCCCCTCCTCCCTGACCTCACCTAGCCCCTCCTCCCTGACCTCACCTAGCCCCTCCCATGCCTCCTGCCCCTCACCTAGCCCCACCCTTCCCTGCCCCCTCACCTAGCCCCACCACCAGCTTCACATACTCGCCCACCTCCTGCCCCACACCCCCCTCCTGCGGGGAGGAGGAGGAGGCGGAGGAGGCGCAGGGGGGCGCTGCCAGGGGCCGCCGGGCAGGCGGGGAGACGGAGGAGAGGGGGAGGGGAGAGGAAGCGTGCCTGGATGGGCATTGGGGGGTGGAGTGGGTGGGGCGGAAGAGGCGGGGAGCGAGTTAGGGAAAGAGAGTAGAGGTTCGGTTGCAGGGGAGAAGGGCAGGGGGCTGTGGGCAGGATGGTGGGTAGGGAGCGTGGCTGAGTAAGGGGGTGGGGATTGCGGATGGCGTGGAGCAGGACCGGGGCGGAATGGAAACATCCCTAACATGTGGATGGGTGGGGAGCAGGCAGCAGGCGATGGAGGGGTATGACAGGGCTGCGGTGGGGTCATTTGCAGCTGGGATGGAGATGTGGGGAAAATGAATGCTGGAATGAGGTCGGAAAGATAGACAAGGGTTTCCGTATCCTTCGTATGTTTAAGGGTTACATAGCTGCAAGATGTCCATCTGTAGACGCAAAGGGGCGTAGAAGGTCAGCAACGCGACGACTGCTAAGCTTGCAGCGAGCGTTAGCGACGAACGCTTGCAAGCCTTAAACAGGTGCCCTTAACAAGGCGAGACTGTAAAATTCATCTATGCGAGGTCCCAAACTATGTCTGTTGGTGACAATTTACCCACCGTGCATTGATCCAAGACCGCCCCTCAGCCTTGCGGGGCTGCGATTCGGGTACGCCTGTACACGGCGACGCAACGGCGAACACACAGGGATAACGCGGGCGTATTCGTTTATAATTATAATCATGGTCTAGCGCCAAGACCAGCTTAAAATAGTAGTCCGAACCTGATGTGTACACTGCGATCGTGTGCATAAGCGGCGTCCTCCTCGGCCCTGTGGCGCGATGAAGCCTGAGTCCTGATCCGTGTTGCGCTGCAACCTGCATTTTCCTTGCACGTTTTGGGCTAGACTTCGACTAGTGCCAACAATGGCGACGTCCCAGGTGGGTTTGATCGAATACGTCTCAACACGTTTAATAATGATGTTTTCGCATCATAGTCAAACGGCAAGTTTGAACTCCCGATGGGCCGTGGGCCCGCTGCCGTGCGCCGTGGATGCTGTGGATGTCCCCTCCCATTCCGCTCAGCCGAACACACGCAAGTTCTATTAGCACTTTTAACTCCATCTTTGTTTGTAGATTAGAATTCTTCCGATGTATTGCATGTGTCCTTTACGCAAAGCACACTCAAGCAAAGCATCCCGTTTGTCAGTTCTGGCCAAGCCGGCATTACATGACGTCTGGACACCTTCTGCTTTAATCCAATATAATGTGAAGAACGCGGCTATTCTCATCGCCTTTGGGGAGCGCTTGATGCCGGCATCATGCGACTCGACTTGGTAAGTTGTTAGCCGCGCGCTGTCCATAATGATACGATGACAACCCTATAGGTACGGTGACAAGCGAAGCAATTGTCACGGATCCTCTTGCTAGATTCAGACCCCTTGGCAAACAGCTGGAGTTCAATGGACAACTGCACTTAGCGACCAGCTTCGGCACTTCAGCGGGATATGCTCAGGTAACACAAGCGCGCTTGCTGCTGAAATGGCTGTAGCGCTACTTCACTGATTGGCGGTGTGGATCATTAGCATCTACACCAATGCGGCTCTGAAGCTACCGAGGCGAACCAACCCACAACCCATGCTTCATAGCTTGATCCGGATACCCAGTCTCCTTTTTTACTCCTAGAAACATGGCTGTCCAGTCTCACATTTGGTTATTCCGGCTCCCTATCGCTTCTGATGTGCACCCATTATTTCCGGACATGGCGGGAGCTCTCGCAGCTCCGCAGTCCCCGCGTCAGACCCTACACCCTATACACCATACGCCTAGGGGCTCTAAAGACTTTCCAATCGGCCCTGCAAGTATGCTGCGTCTCCCCGCCCTGGGCTGACCCGGCAGTGGCTGCAGCAGCCTCGGCCTCAAGGCTACATCGTCTTGCCCCAGCTGGATGTCCGATTCAATGGTCCAATCGTCTTAGTTCCTGCGCTGTCACTTAAGAGGACACACGCTCCAGTCGCTCCTTGAAGGCGGCCGCCATCTCCTCCGCCTTCTCGTACACCAGCTGCGGGTTGCGCAGCATGTCACCTGGAGGGGGAAGGGGACCGGGGGTTGGAGCAGGAGGAGGCCGAAGCGAGATTAACATGGCGGCAGCAGGTTTAGGTTGGGCAGCAGCACATGCAGTGAGATGAAGGGAGAGCGGTGTTGTGCAAATGCCAAAGTGGGCCATGCATGCAGGCGCACAGTGCACTTTCCTTCCCTTCCCTGCCACGTCATTCCCACCCTGGCCCCCACACCACACAAACTGTGGAGCCTGTCCAAAACGGTAGCTTGTTCACCACCCCACATCCACTCACTCACCTGGCGTGGGCTCCAGCTTCTTGGTGCTCAGCGTCACGCGGCCGCGCTTCCGATCCTGGCTGAGGACCATGACCTTGATCTTGTCGCCCTTCGCAAACACCTCCTCAAGACTGCGCACCTTCTCGCAGCTGATATGTTCCACGTGCAGCAGACCCACGATTATGCCCAGGTCAACGAAGGCGCCGTACGGCTTGACAGTCTGTACGACACCCTCGTACACGCGGCCAAGCTGAGGAAGGGGAGGTGGGGTAAGGAGGGGGACGAGAAGGTTGCACGACACCCTCAAACACGGGGCCGTGATGGCTGGGGTGGTGGTAAGGTAAGGGGTGCAAAAAGGGGGTGTAACTAGACAGAAGGGGGCAGGGAAACAGTAAGGAGCGAAAGGGGTGGGATTTGGCATGTCCACTGCTATGCGCTCCTCTGAAATGCGCTCCTCATTGAGGGCATATTGCCCCCCGCATGGTGACGCATGTGCTGGCAGTCCTGCATTGAGCATGGCACTCCAGCACCCCAGCCATGCATCCTGGCCAGCCAGCCAGTCAGCCAGGCCCCCACATCCCTGGCAGTCACGCAGCCGCCTGCCTCATAATGGGCAGCCTGCTGCCATGCAAAGCCGTCTGGCTGCCAGCCAGCCAGCAACGCGGTCGCCTGCCAGCCAGCAATCCATAGCAGCGCCATGGGGCCCTCCTGAACCCTCCCCCGTTTCTGCCGCATCGCCACACCCTCCCTGTCAAGCCCGCCCTCCCGTCCCTTCCGGTCCCTCTCCCAGCCTCCCTGCAGCACTTACTGCCGTACTGCTCCTTCAGGCGGCCTCCCACTGCTGCCAGCACCCTCCTTTCAGCAGCCATCCCATGGCTGCAGCACCCTTGCTCGAACCCCCCTCCTGCTGCATCGCCGCTGCTGCTTCAGTCCCAATCCAGCTCCCCCCCCCAAACCTGTCAGTCATATCGTCAGTGTCTCATTATATCATTCCCCCCCCCCCCAAACCTGTGGTTTCCTATGGTTCGGTGTGGTCGTTGATCCCCATACCTTGGGGAGGTCATCAATGGGCTCGGAGCTGCTGGCACGCGTTACAGAGGAAATAAAGGCGGCCGCCATCTCCTCCGCCTTCTCGTACACCAGTTGCGGGTTGCGCAGCATGTCACCTGGAGGGGGGCGGGTGCGGGGGGTTGGAGAGGGGAGGAGGTGGAAGAGGGAGGTAGCCGGATCAGGGATATCAACATGGGCGTTAGTGGAGGCAGCAGCTGTGGGTTCAAGGTAAGGGTAGCAGGGGGCGGTGCTGCACATGTGCCGAAGTGTGCCTGCGTCATGCATGCCCCCTGGTACGCCACGCGGACACACATCATACTCCTCGGCTCCTGTGGCGTTTCTGTGGGGACTTCACCTTCTGGCAACCGGAGGAGGTTGTTCCTTCTCGCCGCCAGTTTTCTTCGCACACATGTTCCTGCTTCCCCTCCACGTTATCCCGCTCTTCCCGGATAAGGAAGAGCTACCGGCTACTAATCTCTTCACCCCAAGAGTGTAGCCCGACCTGGCGTGGGCTCCAGCTTCTTGGTGCTCAGCCCCACGCGGCCGCGCTTCCGGTCATGGCTGAGGACCATGACCTTGATCTTGTCGCCCTCCGCAAACACCTCCTCAGGACTTTGCACATGCTCGCTGCTGATCTGGCTAATGTGCAGCAGACCCGTCACGCCGCCCAGGTCGATGAGGGCGCCGTACGGCCTGACGGACTGTACGACACCCGCAACCACGTCGCCGATCTGGGGTTGGGTGGGGGAGGGGGTGGTAAGGAAACGGGTGCAGAAGGTGGTATACTAAACAAAGAGGGGTTGGGAAACAGTAATGGAAGGGAGGACATGGGTAGGTAGGTAAGGACCAAAGCGTGCAAGCACATGGCTACAGCTACGGTAGTTACCGGTAGTTTCTTCCTGTTTACCCTCCCCACAGCCACACCAATTTGTACCACTATCACACCACACATTGCAATTTCTTTTTCCCCCCAGCCATTTAGCGCCCCTCCTTCAGCACCCCTGCTACTGCTGCAGCGCCCCTGCTGCTTCAGGGCCCCCATCCAGCCCCGTACCTCGAATATCCGGACGTCAGTGGGCGTGGAGGGCTCAATGGTGGGAATGTCGGAGGAGGCGCAATGGACCGGCGCCAGCGGCCGCCGAGCAAGCACGGAACAGGAGGCGGAGGCGGAGATGGAGGAAGGACAGGAGAAGCCGTGTCTGGCCGATTTGTTGGTTGGGGGTGAGGGGGAGAAAGAGACGGGGAAAGGAAGGCAGCGGTGGAGGTCCGAAAGCAGAGGCAGCACGCGACTACCGGCATAGGGCTATGGTACGAATGCCGTGGGGTTGTTTGCAGCTGGGATGAAATTGTCGAATGGGCTCAAAGGATTCGCCGAAGGAAAGATGAAGGACGACGTCATCAGGGTGCGCGGAAAATGCGCGACGGTCGACTAGCTCTTTAGCTATTTCGCAGTACGGAACGAGAGGAAATTTTTTGCAAGCGAGGGTTATCCAGCTGCAAGATCTACCAAGGCCTCCAGACGTAAGCCTTAATGGCAGTCAGAGTCAGCGAAGCGACGACTGTAACCTTGCAGCGAATGAACGGCTGCAAACCTTTAAGCGCTTACGCTTTGCAAGGCGTGGCCGTTAAATTTAATCCAGAAGATGTCAAAAGCTATATTGATTGGTGACATTCTACCCACCGTGCATTGATCCAAGACCGCCCTTCAACGTTGCATGACCACGACTCGGATACGCCTGTATGCGGCGACGCAACGTAACGTGAACGCAAAACGAGAATGCAAATACCGCCCCTTGACTGAATGGGGTTTGCTAGCGCAATATTGGCATAAGCGGTAGTCCCAACATGGACTCCCATCATGTGCGTACCGGTAAGCGGCGTCCTCCTCCGCCCTGTCGTGCAGTTAAGCCTGAGTCCTAATCCTTTTTGCGCCGCAACCTGCATTTTGCTTGCAAGTCTTGCGCTCGACGTCAAACTACTGCTAACACAACACCCCAGGTGGGTAGAACAGTGTACTTATCAACGAAAACGAGGCACTGCTAGGTTCGCATCATAATCCGTTCTTGCTGCAAGCAGCAAGTTCGAACTTCAGTGGGATGTGGGCCTGCTGCCGTGCGCCGTGGATGATGTGGATGACCATTCCCATTCCAAGTGCGATCCACAAACGCATTTGGATGTTCTTTTCTTGATGGAAGTGTAAGATTATCTGTCATATATACAGCGCGTACCCCCTACTCGAAAGACACGCTAGGAGCAATCCGTTTGTCAGGTCTGCCAAACCGGCACTGCAGGACACGTCGATGTCTTTTGCATTAAGGACATTAGCTTGCTAACAACGCGGCTTTTCTTGTTGCCCTACGGAAGCTTTTGGCACGATATCATGCGGCTTGCATCATTGTCGGCCGCTAAGTAATTAGTCAGCTGTGCCCTCTTCTCATTAGCCACAATGACAGCCAACGCGAATGCTGCGGGGCCGCTGGCTGGAGCCAGACCTCCCGGAAAGCCGCTGGTGTTCAAGGAGCATTGGACAGCCGCACTCAGCGACCAGCTTCGGCTCTTCGGCGTGCAACTGATATGTACCGGTGGTTCAAGCGCTATTGCAAAGACGGTTGTTGCGCCACTTGAGCGGATAAAGGTGCGCTGATATACTAACGATGTCGGTGGATCGGCGGTGCGAAAAAGACAACGGCGGTCTTGCATTAAAGGCTTTACTGTAATCCCAGGCTAGCACACGCACGTTGCGGCTCAACCATTAAGGTCACTGTTTCGCAGATGCCCACGTCGCGCATGGACGCGTCATCCATAGCTCCGTGCTGGGCATTATAGCAGCAGCAATTCGCGAGGGAGAGGTCGGGGGCATGAAGGCGGGATGCTGGAGGAGAAATGGAACGCCTATCCATGCGTGCTCTGCGACTAGACAGTCGCCAAGTAGTCAAAGCCAACCTTCTGGAACCTTTAGACCCGTGCGGTGGCCTGCAATCCATACTATACATACATACTTTGGCCCAGATCCCCCAAGCTTAACCACAGTTCCAACCTCCCAAACGAAATGTCGCCGTTGGATGTTTATCCACTCCTGTACATGTCATCTTGCACCACCCATGTCCCCATCCCCAACTCCGTCGCCCCCTTCCTCTACCCCACCACACGGGCACCACATGGTCTGCCGTACACCCTACCACAGTCACTGCATTATCACCCATGTCACCCGCCCTTTCGCCTCCCAACCTCGCGTTTCCTCCACCCTACCTACCTCTGGTTCCTCTCTGATCCGCCCCCCACCTCCCTTCTACCCCACCCCCTTTCTCCGCGCCCCACCTCTTTCCTTCCCCGCCTCCCTTCTACCCCACCTTCCTTCTCCGCCCTACCTCTTTCCTCCCCCGCCTCCTTCCTCCCCACCTCCTTTCTCCGCCCTGCCTCCCTTCCCTCCCCCCCCTACCACCTCAGATTCTGCGGCAGGTGCAGCACATGGCCTCCCTGGAGGGCGCTACTCGCTACTCAGGGGTGGGAGACGCGCTGGCTCGCCTGCCTTCGCGGGAGGGAGGATGGCGGGTGAGGGGGGCAGGGGGGCTGGTGCAGGGAGGGGGGCAGGGGGGCTGGTGCAGGGAGGGGGGCAGGGGGGCTAGGGCAGGGAGGGGGCAGGGGGGCTAGGGCAGGGAGGGGGGCAGGGGGGCTGGTGCAGCGAGGGGCCATGAGGGCCCTAGCACAGGGCTGACGGGCGGCTGGTGGGTGGTGGCAGGGTGCAGGGAGGGCGTGTTGTGGGGCTAGCACGGCTGTGCCTGGCAGCTAGTCGAGGGAGGCAGGGAGCTGTGAAGACTGTGGAATGGGTACAGAGGAGGAGTTGGAGGGGGCATCTGGGAGGCGCGGGAGGAGCAGGGCTAGGCGGTAGGCTGCTACTGCTGCTGCTGGCTTTCCTCGTGCTTTCCTTACCCCTGCTCCCCTGCTCCCCCGCTCCCCCGCGCGCTTCCTGCTGCAGGCTCTGTGGCGCGGCAACGGCGCCAACGTGGCGAGGCTGGCGCCGGATGTGGCCTTCCGCTTCGTGGTGCATGGTGGGTGGGAGGGGAGGGGGTTGGGGGCGTGCATGGTGGGTGGGGGGGGTACGGGGGTGTTGGGAGGGGCCGGGGAGCCAAAGATATACCAAACCACAAGCGGGGGTAAAGCAACGGGGATAGGAGGCGGCAGGGTGCCACAAGACAGGTGGAGGGTTAGCGGCCCCTACCGATATCGGTGGTTGGGTGGTTCTGGTGGTGGTAGTGGTTGGTGCAGGGTGGTGGGTGGGTAGGTAGCTGGGTGGGCGGGGGCCGGAAGGGAAGGGAACCGGACGGGCGGAGGGGAGGCTTAGCCCGGGGTGAGGCGAAGGCGCAAAGAGGCACAAGGCATGGAGCAGAGCAGCACTGCTCCCTATCCCGGGTACCTGAGGCGCTAGGGCGCTTGGGTGCCCCTGCTTGTGTGCATCTCGTGTGCGCTACCTTCCTCACGAAGGTATCCCCACTTAACCCCTTCACCTACCTCACACCTCACACCTACGCCTACCGCCCGCTCCACCTCACCCACCTCACCACCACCTCGCCCCTACTACCACCTCACCCACCTCATTACCACCTCACCCCTACTACCACCGTCCTCCCCACCTAACCCCCACCTAACCCACCTACCACCCGCCCACCTCACCCACCTCGCCCACCCCTCACCCCACAGACCAGTTCCGAGTCATGTTCGCCCCCATGGACGGCTCCCCACCGGGAGTACCGGAGAAGCTAGCCGCGGGCGCCGCAACAGGCATCCTCAAAACCGCGCTTTTCTATCCGCTTGATCTCTGCCGTACTCGCATCACAGCAGATCAATCCATTGCCCTGGCAACCCCACCAACACCAGCAGTGCCGGCAGAACCCGTATTCTACGCACGAATAGAGGGCCGCGACATAGCGGTGCCGCGACTTAAGAAGACGCCGGCGGCGGCAGCGGCAGCGGATTCTGCTGCGGCTAGCAGCAGTACGGCAACCGCTACAGCAACCGCCAGCAGCAGCAGTACGGCAACCGCTACCACCGCCACGGGTCGTACGTACCCCACCATTCGCGCCTGTTTGGCTTCCACTGTGCGATCCGAGGGGGTGCGAGGGCTGTACCGGGGGGCGCTGCTGTCGATGGGGGGCGTGGCGCCGTACCTGGCAATCAGGTGGGTGGAGGCGGGAGGGGGGAGGGGCGAGACTAGGAGGGGCGGGAGAATGGGTGGCGAGGATGGGAGAAGGGGCGGAAGGATGGGCGGGAGGAAGGGTAGAACTGGGGTGGCTGGGAGAATGGGTGGGACTAGGACGGATGGGAGGATGGGAGGGGTGGTGAAAGGGCCGGGGGTGTCAGTCGGGTGAAGGTAGGAGGGGCGCAGGATGGGTGGGACTTGATTGGGGTTCAGAATCTCCACAGTCTCTCAGGCCTCCCACCGCCTTTTCCGCTTTTCCCCCTTGCAATCGCAGTTTCACAATGTACGATGAGTTACGGAAACGACTGCCCTCGGACCGAGAGTCCACATCCTCGCTTTGGTAGGGAGGGAGGGGGGCTTTGGTAAAGAGTAAAGAGGAAGGGCGGGAAAAAGAATAATACCCAACATGTTGAATGAGAATGGCAAACAAGACGTCAAGCTGGGAAGGAGGGAGGGAGGGAACTGACTGCCGGCTAGGGCTCGTGTTAGCCTGGCTGTGAGGTTTGTGGCTCCCTGCTTGGCTGACGTGTCCTTCCAATAAGGTCAATGTGGTCGGAGACCGCCCTGACAGGGCCCACCATGTCACATCGCGTTCATCATCAATAAGGGCGGGGCTACTTGTACGCCGTACGAAAGGTGCTGCTACGAGAAAAAGGAGTGTTGAAGGTCGCAAATGTCGCAATCCCGCAACTTCGCGCCGACCCGGATAGCGCTGACGGCCTCTGATGACGCTGACGGCCCTAACGCAATTCTCCCCCCCCGCCCCCTCGCCCCCCCCATAGGTACCCCCTGGTCAAGATGGGGTGTGGGGCGGCGGCAGCGGTGTCGGCGCAAACCGTGGTCTACCCCTTGGACACGGTAGGATGGAGGCACTTACGGGTATTTAGGTACTTCTACAGGCACGGCTAGGATGGATATGCAAAGGCTATTATGGCAGCTGGTTCCTACTGAGCCAATGTTCTAGGTAGCTAGCTCGAATGTTCCTCTCCTGCCCGTCCCCTTCTCCACCACGCCCGTTCTGCCCTCTTCCCCTTCCTCCGCTTCGCTCCCCTTCCGCTCTCCTCCCTCCTTGTTTTCTGGTTTGCATGGCCGTCCATTCAACGCATTGGGAATCCTCCTTCCCCCATCCTCCTTCCCCCAACAGGTCCGCCGCTGCATGCAAATGAACGGTGCAGCCGGCCAAGCGGTCTACTACGCCTCCGCCTCAGACTGCCTAAAGCAGCTCCTCCGAAACCACGGCGGTGTGCGCGCCCTGTACCGCGGCTGCCTCACCAACTGCCTCAAAACCTCACTGGGAGCGCCCGTACACTTTGTGATGTACGACGCGATCAAAAGTGCCGTACAAGCGCTGGATCCGACGACTGGGGTGTCATCGCCGTTGTGAGGGCATGCGGGGGGGGTGCGAGTGGGAGGAGTAGGTGTGGGCAGGAGTGAGGAGGGCGGGATGGGAAGGGTATGGGCGAAGGATGGAAGGGGGCGGGAGGGAATGGGGTGATGGGTGGCGTGGGCGGCGGCTGGTAAAGTCGCTGGTAGGTGCAGGATGGAAAACAGAACGCTGTGACCTTGTCATCTGGTTTCGGAGACGTGGCTCTTGGAGCTTGAGTAGAAGGGTGCCAGGGAGGGGGCGGCTGCGAGGCTGTATCCGAGGAAAGGGTACCCAGGTCGTGAGGCTTGCTTCTCGGTCCGGATAGGTCGTGGTGGGAAGGATCAAGTGCGCAGTAGCAGGAAGGAGCTGGAACGGATTTGGAAGGAACAGGGGAGGGGACAGTGTTGTGACATGCGTGAAGCTGGCGTGTCGCGTTGGGTGCGGAGCTTAGAATACCCACCGAGGTGGGCTAAGGACGCAGTGCAGGGCTGTAACGAAACGCAGTTAATACCAGTCGTCACGCAACGCATACGGTACGCAGATACGCAACGAGGATTTGGGAGTGAAAATGGGGAGACTTTCATGCTTGTAACAACAGCAGGGCCTAGGTCTGGAGGATGGAGTCGGCCTGTCACACAGCCCGTTAGTTGCCCCGTCAGTTTCCCTATCTTTACCGCCCCCCCCCCTCCCACCAACCAGCAAAGCTTCTCTTGGCGCGTTACAAGACACATCTCTCTTCTCGCGGCATCGTACAGTCATCAGGGTCTCCGCCTCTGTGCCGGGCAGCTCGGCACCCCTTGGAGCCACACGCAGCCCCCACAACATACAGCGCACCATGCGGTCATGCAAAGAGGCAGAAGGCATGCATGGGTCGCACACAGTCACACAAAGCGAGGGTCAAAATTGATCGTGGGGACGGTGAGGGCTCACGCTTCTCCATCACCGCCCGCCACTAAATAACAGTGCCTCGAAAGGCCACTGTAGCATCTCACGCGCCCGGCTAGCCACCCGGGCTCTCGCCTCTCTCTCGGTACGTCGTCGTCTCTCATCCTGGTCTTGCTCAGAAATGCGCAACACTTGGGCTCTTAACCCAGCCTGCTCTTGAACGAGCCCTATAGAACCAACCCGGCGTGCGGCTTTACTACTACATCACCCAGTCTTTCCCGTCGTGCGACCCGCTTAAGAGGTCTTTTAAGCGCCGGGAGAGCAAGACACCCTCCGAGCAGCTGCCACACTGCCAAGCGCCGCCCTCCTCCTCTTCCTCCCAAAACCGCACCCCGCTACACCACCCCCCTACCTCGTACCCCACTCCAACCCCCGCGATGTCTAGAAGCAGCTCTCACCGCAACGCGCACCCCGCGCTTAGGGACCCAAAACGCTCAAAACAGCTCAACCAGCACAGCCTGTTGAAGTCGAAAAAGAGCAAAACTCGACAACTACAGGGCGCCGGTTAATGCGGCTTTTGTTCTGCCAAACGGGGAGTCTCAAGGACTGTCAATTACCGTACTAAGGGCAACCCTACATTGGCTGCGCAAACACACACAGCGGTATTTTCCTGTCTCACAACCTGCCATTCCCCCCGCTCCCCATCCCACACAGACACACAAGTCTCTTCTCCTGCGCAGCCTTGGCGGGAGCGTTGGCTGACTCCCTTCTTCCCAGTTATCCATCTGACCCGCCCCGCAAGACCAAGGAAGCACGCGGCTTCCTAGCACTGAGCACTTCCGGCCACCTAGCACTTCCCCACCTATGGATTGCTCCACAGGGGAAAGCCGCGACCCCCTGAGCTCAACGCCGCACACAAATCCGCCTCTACCTCTCTCACCTTCCCTTCTGATACATACGGCAAGTTCATGATACGGTACGCCTACATGCACCCCCTCACAGCCCCCCCCATCGGTGCTCACGGCGACCAACAACAGCGCGGTTTGGAAGGCCCTGCAACGCACCAAGTGCATTGCTCCTTCCCTTGCCTAGGCCTCACTGGGTCGAGCGCAAGCACAAGCGCAACTGCAGCCGTATGCAGCTGCTGCACAGCTTAACGGGGCTTAGAAGAGACAAGCTTCCCGGCCAGCCTGTCGTGTGCTTAGTACACGAACGGCCCGGGCTCGATGCCCGCTGCCGGGTCCTGTCCCTCCTCCGCCACCTGGTTGGCCGCCAGCGTCACTCGCGCCTTGAAGGCCGCCGCCATCTCCTCCGCCTTCTCGTACACCAGCTGCGGGTTGCGCAGCATGTCACCTGAAGGGGGGAGGGAAGGCAGGAGGAGGGATGGGAGCCACAGCGGCGGCGGCGTTAAAACCATGTGGGTAAGCAAAGGAGGCAGCTGCGGGTTGTGCAACAGCACGCGTACCCCTTCCTTATCCTTTTCCTTTCCCCGCCACTACCTCTCATCCCCACTTCTCCCACAGAGCTCACACTTGATTGAACCTTGTCACAGCCATTCCCGGTCCCTTCCTGCCTTCCTCCAAGCCCCACCCAGCCCTCTCTCAAGCGCGTGTTAAGAAGACTGGCCGCCTGTGTGTGCGCGTGCGTGTGTGTGTGTTAAAATAACTGGCCGCGAGGCGAAACGTGTGCGCAAACCCACCTGGCGTGGGCTCCAGCTTCTTGGTGCTCAGCGTCACGCGGCCGCGCTCCCGGTCCTGGCTCAGGATCATGACCTTGATCTTGTCGCCCTCCGCCAGGACCTTGTCCAGGCTGAGCACACGGTCGTTGCTGAGCTGGCTGACGTGCAGCAGACCCGTCACGCCACCCAGGTCAACGAAGGCGCCGTACGGCTTGACGGACTGTACGACACCCGCAACCACATCGCCAATCTGGGGTTGGTGGGAGAGGGGGTGGGATGTGAGGTGAAGGTAGGGAAAGGGGTGCGGAAGAGGTTGGGAGGGGTAAGGGAGTGAAGGTAAGGGAGCATCCGTCTCTTTCTTTATGCTCCATCCCTTCCTTCCATTCCCTGCCAGCCAGCCAAACCCGCTTTCCTCTGCCCCCTCCCCCTAAGGACCCCGGCCTGTCGCCAAGCGGCGCTGCTACCAGCCTGCCTAGGAGCTGCCGCAGCTGCCGCCCTGCATTGCTGCGCCCAGCACCCCCTCGTCGAGCTCTTCCAGTGCGACCACGGCGCTGCTGCAGCACCCAGCACCCCCTGTCTTGCACTGCACCCAGCCTCTCCAATCAGCACCCCTCCTCCAGCCCCCCTCCCACTGCGCCCCTGCACCTCCCCGCCTCCCCCCCTTGCATCCCGCCCGCCCTCCGCTTTACTGCACGTTCCGCGCCCCTCCCGCTTCACCCTGCCCCCCCGCCCCGCTTTACCTTGAGTCCCTGGATGTCGTTTGACACGGAGCTGCTGGCGCGCTTGTGGCTGAACACCAGCCGCTCGGCGGGCTGAGGGTGGGAAGGGAGGGAGGGGAAAGGAGGAGAGGACGAAGATGGGGGAGGCATCTAGGGGTAAGGAGCAGGTGCCATGCGGAAAAGGTTCCATGCGCCGCAACCCTGGCAACCACCGGCCACACGCGCCCCTGTCCTCCAGCTCCTCCGCTCTTTAGTTCGGGCCCTATCAACAACGCCCCGTGCGCCCGCTTCCGTGCGCTCTCTCTCTCGATCCACCGCCATCGTCGCGTCCGAGGCCTCAGCCCTTCCAGCCCTCCTGCGGCCCTCCTCTGACTCTAGCTCCCGCCCTGGTGCGCCACCATGTCTGCCTGCCTGCCTAGCATGCGAGGGCCCCTGCTCCATCCGCCTCCCTGCTCCTGCCGGATCCCGCCTTACGTGCCCCCTCCCTTCGTTGGCCTTCCAGCCTTACCCAGCTCCTCATGTGGTGCCCATAGAAGCTCCGTAAGCGTGGCTCCACCCCACCTCCCTTCCCATGCTCCCTTCCCAGTTCCCACCCCGGCTGTGCTTCCTTCCCTCCCTCCCTCTGCCTCCCACTCCCCGGGTGCTCCCGTCCCGCCCCACCCCGTCCCTGTGGCCCACCTCGTCGACCTCCAGGAACTTCACTTGGAGCTGCGCGCCAACCATGGTCTCCATGTTGTCCGGGGTGATGGTCTGGTTGTGTGGGGGAGTCAGGGGGGTTGGGGGAAAGGGGGAAACAGGGTGTAACCGGGAGCGGGAGAGTGTGGTTGGGAGACTTGGGACATGCTGGCACGCGTGCAGCGCCGAGACGTGTCCTGAGGACCCGAGTAGGATGTCGCACGCATTCCAGAGGCGAATAAATTGGGCCTCTCCCCCGCGTGGTGTGCTGGGTACCCGGAGTCTGCGGGGTCAGTTGTGTGCTTGGGAGCCCTTAAGGCAAGGTCCACGCGCTCACCGGTCCGAACTGGCTGACGGGGATGAATCCATCGTACATGCCGAACTTAACGAGCATTCCGCCCTTGTTCACCGACTCCACGGTCACCGTGACGGGAATGTCCTCCGCTTGGAGGACGCGGATGCGGTCCCAGAAGACACCGGCCTGCGTTCCGGGACCACCGCAAGCCCATGAGCAACATCTCCCGGACATTGTACTGTGCTGCCTCGGATACCGTTACATACTAACAGGCGGCTAACTTGGTTCAGAAGCCACAGCAGCAACGGTAACTTGCAAGTCGCTTATACGCCACGGGGAGGGAGGGTACCATGTCGAAACAGTTACCCAGCGAGGCGAGAGCTTTGGACCGGACGCGAGCAGCCCAAACATTCAGCTGAAGTAACAATGATAAAAGACGCAAAAGGACAACAGGCAAGAGGCAAACAACAACTCTTCAGGCCAACTCGACAGTGCCCTGAGCCGATCCAAACATTAACTTATAGCCCCTACCTCGATAGCGGCAAGGCTAACAATGTACTGGCCGTACTCCTCCTCGTCCTCGACTATCAAGAAGTCGCGCTTCATGCCAGGGCGCAGCACCTCCAGCGGCTGCAAGCGAGTAACCCAATCATGGAGTGAAGATACATAATTGAGCTCAAAATAAGTGCTCAAACCGTAAGGCAAGAACGCAGGCAACAAACTGCCATGGCAGACACCCATTTCCCAGGGCGCACCGTCTTTAGGCGAGCGAACGAGCACTCCGTAATTGGGCAGAAGGCGATGGCCTTCGCACCAATCTCCACGTAGGCGCCGTCGTCGTCGATTTCAATGACCGTGCCGCTCACAGTCTCGCCCACCTTGAAGTTGTAGTCCACCGCGCCCAGCATCTCCTCAACCTCCTCATGCATATCGGCATACTCATCATCCGTAAAATCATCGTAATCAACCATCTCGTCGAGGTCCTCCTCCTGTGTCTCCTCGTCCAGCATCATCCACTTCAGCAGGTCCTCCTGCGCCTGATCCAATTCCTGCAGCTCTAGCTCCTCGGTAGCTGCGGGATCCTCATCCTCTAAAAAGCTGGGAGTAGCGGCAACAGGCTCTGGAACTGGCTGCTCGTCGCTCTGGAAAGACTGCTGTTCCTGCTCCTCAATAGCGGCGACCCGAGTAGCAAGGGTAGCTTTGCGCGGCAATTGAGCAACGAATGCACGACGGCAAGAAGCACCAGGACAACGAACAGGTAGCGTATGGCGGTGGGTAAGGGAACGCGAGGAAAGGGCCTTCATTTTTGTGGTGCAGCTCGCAGCCGCTTACTATTGTTATGAGCGGCACTAACCGGTCTACAACACCTAAGCACAGTATGAAGGGAAGTTAATTGGGGTTGGATCGTGGGTTCTGCCCCAGGCTTCCCGCTGGCGATATGCCAGGGAGGGGTCGTACAATTTTGTGGCTTGTGGCCTTCGCATCCACAATTGCATCTCCATTTGGGCAAAGCATCAGAGCCTTTAATTGTAATTTCCTTATACCTCGATCCTCCCAGATGCTGGCCTAGCATATATATGGCAACTTACGCTCTGTCGCGCACCCTTGTTTGGGCGGCGCGTCCTGTAACGCTGTTTACTCACACCAGAACTGTCCGCGCATGTTTCCTTCAATATCTGGTTAGCGATCTTTACAAGCAACCACGCGAACTTGTTGCTGCAACATGCCAGGCACCTTTCATCCCTAGATAGAATCCGAAAGACATTAATGACAGCGTAGTCAAAACAAGATTCGATTTGTGTTTACCATCTGTCGCTTTGGCATGTACTCCCCAAAGGGCGGCAGTAGCACTTAGCCTCCCATCCGTCCCTTGTCGCTGTTGTTAGCAGCACTGCCACGCTCCTGTTGCTTTCCTTGCTAGTTTAGCCTCCCGCGCCACATTCTATGGTCCTGGTTCCATCGCGGCTTGCTTGAATCGCGGCTCCCTCGCCGCTACTACTGCCCCTCTGGCCGCTCCTGCGGTCCAGCCTCCTTCGCCGCTACTACTGCCCCTCTGGCCGCTCCTGCGGTCCAGCCTCCTTCGCCTCTATTGCTGCCCCTCTGGCCGCTCCTGCGGTCCAGCCTCCCTCGCCGCTACTACTGCCCCTCTGGCCGCTCCTGCGGTCCCTCATTCTTATCCACCAACACACTCTCCAGCTCCTGCAACACCAGCACCCCGCGCAGCCGCCGCCGTACGCCTTGCCCCCCCTCCTCTTCACCACCACCATCACCGCCGTTAATGTCTTCCTCAGACCCGCTCTCGCTCTTTCCCAGTCGCTTGTTACCCGTCTTGCTCTTTCTCTTGCTGCTACCAGCCCTCTTCCTTGTCAATGCAGGCCCGCCATCCTCCTCCTCCTCCTCTTCCTCCACAGCTGTTGCTGCAGCCAGAAGCTCTGCTGCCACCCTCGCACGATAACCCGTTACCCCCGACGTCGACGCTGACGCCTCATTCCCTTCACCATTCCTTGCGCTTCCTTGCTCTCCTCCTCCTCCTTCCTCCTCCTCCTCTTCCTGCTCCAGTCGGCGGCCGTCGAAGCGGCTGAGCAGCACGTACCGTACATCCAGTTGTCGTACGACGCGACCAAATGCGGCTGCCGTACAACCACCCGCCTCAGCCGCCATGTCGGCGTCGTCCTGCACAACCGAATTGCCGTTAACAGCAGAAAGCCTGGATTAATAGCTTGTACTACAAAATTGCACGACATGTCCTTTTTTCCCTCCCGCTTCGCAACTGTAGCCCTCTGACAGATAGATGTTAAATAACCCAAGCCAACCCAACACCTATCCTCTTCTGTACTCCATCTCCCTTCCTTCCACCTTCCCTTCCCTTCCAATTTTTTCCCTCTACCGGTATCCTGCCCCTCTTACCCACGCCCCCCTCTTACCTCCGTCCACAGCGGCCCCGCCACCACCACGTCCGCCCCCCTCACGAGCCGCGCCGCTGCCGGACTCCGCAGCAGCTGCTGCGGGGCGCATGTGGCACCCAGCACCACCACGCGCCGGCCGGGGCGGGTGGGGGAAATGACCAGGGAGGGAGGCACGGGGGCACCCCACCTGCGAGGGGGAAAGGAGGGGAGAGAGAGGAGAAGAGAGGAGAGCGTGGTAAGCCAATTGAGCGGCTGTGCCGTGCGGCGTGCTGTGCCGTGCTCTAATGCGTGGTGCCGTGCCGTGCCGCGCGACACGTTCTGTGCTGTGCTGTGTGACTCACGACGTGCTGTGCCGGATGACACGTGCTGTGCCGTGCCGCGCGGCACGTGCCGTGCCATGTTGCGTGACGCGTGTCACGCTGAACTGTGGGACAGATGCTACGCAGTGTGACACGCGCCATGCCGCGCTGTGCTACACGTGCGATGCTCCGCCGTGCAACACATGCCGTGCTGTGCAGTGTGAGACGTGCCGTACCATGCCACATAACACGTGCCGTTCCGTGCCGTGCGAGATGTGCGTGCCGTGTGACATGTCTGTGCTGTACTGCGTAGCGCCCTGCCGTACCGTGCGGCACGTGTCTTGCTTTGCCGTGCAACACATGCCGTGCCGTGCTGACTGTAACGTGCGGTGCCCTTCTGTGTTGCACGTGCAATGCCGTGCCGTCTGGCACGTGCTATGCCATGCTGTGCGACACGTGCCGTGCCACAGGCCGGGGGCGAGGACCATAGTGGCAGACAGGAGGGGAGCAGTGAGAGGGAAATGTTCTGGGTGTAAAAAGAAATCATTTGCATCATGTGCAAGTTAGAAGCCTCCACCCCACCCTACCCCAACCACCCCCGCCGCTGCCTCCTCACTTGTTGGTTACAGTCTCCCCCGCCTTGAGCCTGGAAAACTGAGCTCCCCCTGGCAGCCCCGCAGCAGCAGCGCGCTCCACACTGAGACCACCCGCGCGGTCCGCCTCCTGTTGGCGGGTGGGGTTGCAGGGGGAGGGGGTAAAGACTGGAGAGAGAGGTGGCAAGGGGAAGGAGGTGAGTGACAGGGAAAAAGAAACAGAGGAAGATCTCTGGAAGAATAGAAGAGGAAGGTGCTGAAGCCTCTGCCCATTACCACCACAATCACAATAAGTTTGCAACAAGCACAGCAGTAGCCCCGTCCGTCGTACCACGACAGTGTAGGCCAATGTGGTTTCAGAGCCCTCTCCTCCTGGCCCCGCTGGCAGGCAGGTGATGACCACCCGAGCTGACGGGTCCAGCTGCAGGGTCCAGGTGAGCTGATCCAGGGGGGGAGGGTCGGGCCTGGAGGGGGGTGGGTGGGGGGGAAGGGAAGGTGCTTTGAAACACCGTGCTTTGAACGATAGTACGGTAACGGCGGTTCACAAAAAGTTAGAGTTTCCTTTTACCCCCCCCTTTCCCCCGGGGTTTCCCCACCTGTCCGGGTCCCCGGGTGTCAGTGGCGGCCAGCCCAGGTAGCCGGCTCGCGGGTCGATGCCCAGCACCCCACCCGCAGCGTTACGACCCCTCTTGCGCTGGCTGCGACCCTGAGGAGGTGGGGAAGGGGGGGGGGAGGAGGCGGGGAGAAAAATAAATAAGAAGTGAAGCAACAGGAGTCCCCATCCCGTAACCTCTCATGCAGTGAGCGCATACTAAGACACGGAGGTGTGGACTCGGAAGGAGATGAGTGCGGCAGGCGGGGAAGTGCCTAGGGGGGCGGGGATGAGGGATCAGAAAGGAGACACGCACGTGCGGATGGCTAAGGACGGCGCCGGGAGGCAGGCGGGGTACCCGCAGCTAGATGGGGCTCAGCAAGCAAGGTGAGGCGATGGCTAGATAGCTGGCGGCGGAGAGGAGAGCGGGTGTAGATTACAGCCTTGCAAGGGGTGTGTTAAAATAACTGGCCGGGGTGTGTGTTAAAATAACTGGCCGCGAGGCCGGGGTGTGTGTTAAAATAACTGGCCGCAAATAACTGGCCGGGGTGTGTGTGTGTGTGTGTGCAGTGGAAGATTCATCCCCAGTTGCTCCCGGTTTCTCACTGTCCTTCTCCTCCCTCTCCTCTGGCTCACATGATGCAACCCATGTTGACGCCTTGTCCCTCAGTCAGTTAGTTGTTTCCTCCTCCTCCCTCTCCTCCTCATGCCTGGTCAGGTAAGGTGGTCCTTCCCCTCCCTCTTTCTGCCCTGCACCTGGGCTGGTGTTACCCCCCCCCCCCCGCCCCTCCTTTTGTTTATGCCCCTCACCCCCTCCTGCACCGTACCTGGTCCGGTGCGAAGAGCAGCAGCGATGCGTCCACCCCCCCGGCGGGGTTCAGCTGGTCGGGCGGCAGCTCCACTCGCCAGATGCGGCAGCGCGAGGCGAAGAGCTGCGGCTCGGAGGCGGAGGGTGGAACAGCGGCCAGACACACCTGCGGAGGAGGAGGAGGGGAGGAACACGGATTGAGAAGTGAAACAAGAATTGTGAAACAAGAAATGTGAAACAAGAAATAAAGAAGTGAGGTGTGAGGTGTGAAGCACAGTCCCATATCCCCTAACGAATGCACCCTGGAGACACAGCGGCGCGGCAACCATGTCATTCCAGCGGAAGGGCAAGTATAAGGAATACAGGACAGGACGGGGTGATGGGGGAAAGGGAGTAGACCGGTACGTTGGTGACGATAGCGGTGGCAACCCGCGGGGTTACGTTCCCATGGCAGATAGATACGACACATAGCAAAAACCCGCACACAACCACCCAGGGAGTCGTAAACCCCCCGCTTACCTCATGTACGACAAGGGTGATCTCCAGATAGGTCTGACTAACGCGCATGACGGTTGACAGGTAGTCTGCCGTACCACGCGGGCCGTAAATGTGTACGGGAATGTCTGCCAATTCGTGCCCCCTCTCCCGGGCTTGGTTAATGACGCACAGCAGGCCCGGCAAGCCCAACACGCTTTCTGCGGGGTGGTTGCGGTTGGTTGGAACCATTCAGACGTGGTACGGCGTTTGTTGAATGGTGCCGTACGGCTTGTCGTGTTTTTAAGGGTGAATGAAAGGACGTTCACGCAAAATGCGACGAGCGACGTAGAGCTAAATGCAAATGACGTCTTTGCTTCCCCCCATGCAATTTTAAGCCCACACTCCCTCCACCTCAGCCACCGTCCGCTCCTTACTCCTGTAGAGCAGCAATCATCCCGCATCCGCGGCCCTACTCACCCATCCCCCATTTCCCCTGCCCGCTTGCAAGCATGGTGGGTTGCCTCTTTCCCCCTCCCCCTACGCTATTGCAAGCACACTAGGTCTCCTCGTTTCCCCGTTTCCCCAACCCGCTTTTGCAAGCACCGTCGTACCGGTATTCCTCTTTCCCCCTCCCTCCCCTACCCGGTTGCAGGCTAGTGAGGAAGATGCGGTAGATCTTGGAGGGCTTGGTGTGGTAGGAGCGGGCGAGCTGGCGCTGCGTGTCATCACCTGGGGGGGGTCAAAGACCATACCAAACCATAGGAGACCACAAGTTAGGGCAAAGCAATGGGGGGGAGAAATTCCAATGTGTGGAGGGGGGGAGAAAGGGAGGAAAGGAGGAAAAGGAGAGGGGAAGGGGGTCAAAGACCATACCATACCATAGGAAACTATAGGTTAGGGCAAAGCAATGGGGATAGGAGGCGGCAGGGTGCCACAATACAGAGGTGGGGGTAGATAAACTGAGCCGCTGAAACACTGATCCTGAACGTAATACACCGGCGGATGAGGATGGGGGAGAGGAAAGGAGGATATTGACGAGCTGTACGACATGTTGGCTTCACCAGGATCTCCCCGTCCGCGTCCCACATCCCCTTGACACAGCCTTGTCACACGGTTGGCCATTCCTCTTTACGCCTTACCCCAACCACCCAACCATACCGATACCCAACTACCTCCTACACTTTCGAAACGCCCAAGTCCCCTCACCCGCATCAAACAGCAGGATCTCCTTCCCCCTCGCCAGCGCCAGTCCGCCAAGGGCGCTGCCCGCAGTGGCGTGTACGGCAGCCGTACCCAGCGCGGTGAGGGCCAAACCCGGCACGTTGGACAGCAGCAGCTCCTCCTGGGGGGGAAATGGGGGGGAAGAGGGGGAATGGGGGAGACGGAAAGAGGGGTTAGGTAATGGGTGTTAAGAGGTAAAGAGGAGGTGGGGTGCAGCTCCCCCTGGGGTGGGGAATGAGGGAGAAGGGGGCGTGTGGGTTGGGTTGTGGGTGTGGTGGTTGGGTGTGTGTGTGTGTGGAGGAAGGCTAGCCAAACAACTGGGTTGGAGTTGCGGAAGGAGCGGGAAGAGGAGGTCGGAGGAGATACCTAGCTACTGCCGTACAACAACCTGGATGCCGTACAACAACCCGGATGCCGTACAACAACCCGGATGCCGTACAACAAACCCGATGCCGTACAACAACCTGGATGCCGTACAACAACCCGGACGCCGTACAACAACCCAAACGTCGTACAGCAATCTGGATGCCGTACCTGCGCATCCGGGTCTCCCGGGGCGAGATCCGTCACGCGGTGTAGCTGACCCATGTACCTGTGGGGTGGGGAGGTTGGGTAAAAGAGAAATGAAGAAGTGCTGCACCTGTAGTCCCCATTCCATATCCCGAGGTGGGAGGTGGTGGGGCGGCGAAGGGTGAGAGGTGGGGCGCTGAGGCCGGGAGAGGAAGGAGGCCCCCTCCCTTCCCGGCCCCCTCTTCCTACCCTTCCCGGCCCCCTCTCCCTGCCCTTCCCGGCCCCCTCCCTTCCCGCACCCCAATCGACCCCCTCTCCCATCCCAGACGTACATGGGCGGCCAGGGCGGTAGGTCCTCAGGGTTGGGTGGGCCCGGCTCCCCACCCTCCTGCTGTGCGGGTAGCGTAGGGGGCGAAGAGGAGCCAGGAGAATCCGAAGAGGCGGAGGAGGATGGAGAAGGGGGTGAGGAGGGCGAGGGCGGGGAGGAGGAGGAGGAGGGCACAGACCTGCTAGTCGCAGGAGGCGAGTCTGATGATGAGGGTGGTGGTGGTGCTGCTGCTGCACTTGTCCTCGGTGGGGGTCCTGTCTCTTTCTCCTCTTCCTGGCCAACCTCCTCCTCCGCCTCCTCCACCGCCACCTCCTTCCTGCTTCTCCGCCTAGGCAGCGGAGGTACTGCTTCCGCTGCCGCTGCTTGCGCTCCTCCTTCCGCTCCTCCCTCCGCTCCTCCTTCCGCTCCTCCCTCCGCTCCTCCTTCCGCTTCGTCACGCCTAGGAGATGATGACGGCTCGCGCCGCTGCCTCCGCTGCTGCTGTCCTGTGAGCCGCCATCCTGCCTCCTCCTCCTCCTGCTGCTTCCCACCGCTGCCGCTGCTGTGAACGGCAGGTGGCGCCTGCTGGCCCCGCAGCCGCTGACGAAGTGCATCCAAAACACTGGCGGCGGCGGAAGTGGAGGCGGCGGCGGTGGTGGCGGCGGCTCCAGCTGCCGTACTAGTCACAGCTGCCGTACGGCGTGGGGCAACGGCGCCCTTCTCCTCTGCCCTTTTCACCTCCCTCCCCTTCACCTCCTGCTCCTCCTCGGCGCCTGAGGAGGGGGAACTGCGGCTGCTGGCGGTGGCTTGGCGGGGGTGAGGTTGGGGGTTGTGACGGGTAGTAGTTGTAGTTGTAGTTTTTCCTGTGGTTGTTGTGGTTGGCTGGGGCGGCGCACGCTCCTTGACCACAATATTGAGGTCCAGAGTTCCGAACAGGTCATTCAGGAACGTGTCGCCGCCACTTCCGCCATCCCCTCCGTGCCCCCCGCCGCCGCTTCCTGTTCCTACTCCCCTGGGCAGGGGTACCGAGTGGGAGGGAGGAGGGAGAGGAGGAACTGCTTGTACGGAAGTCGGCAGCCGCCGCCGACCCCGCCGTACGACGCCGGGAGCCACCGCCGCTGCAACTGCCGTTGGCTCCGTCGCCTCGGCGCATGCATCCCTGCTCTGGCTGCTACTGCTGCTGCTAGCGCTGCCTTCACCAACGCCTTCGTCGGCGCCATGACCACCACTAAGCCCCACAGCAGCAATGGAGGTAGCACCTCCGGCTTGCGCTTCCGCTGCTAGCAACCGTTCGATTAGGTCCGATTTACGGCCGGATCGCGGCAGACCCCGGGCTTGCAGCGCCGCTTGTAGCTCCGAAACCTGAGTGTCGTACGATTGTACAGGAAACGTAAGATAATTTACTATCGGATACACGATGTATGTACAAATACTGCCCTGTGTAACAGAACGACCTATCTACTATGCCCACCATCAGTGTCAGTTTTGAGGCAAGCTGATTGAACACACGGAAAGCCACACACCAGGGACGCATTACCGTCTACACATCATCCAAAACAGACGAGACATTTTCCACCGCTTTTAAGGTCTGTGTTTTGATGCCGCTACCTGATCCTAGTTCAGCAAGTGCCGTACCCCAACCTGCCGTACCTTCATTGCGGACAGGTCCGCTACAGAGGCTTGAGCAGATAACACTCCTCTAGCTGCCGCTGCTACGTCCCTGCCAAACACCGTCCTATGCCATCCTCCTACAGAACACGGTATTTTTGGTGCAAGCCCCCTTGCGCCACCACTGACGCTCCTGGGGGCGAGTGGGCTGGCAGCATGGGCAGCTGAATCGGCAGGGCTGGTGGCAGCAGCGGCTGTGGCAACGGTCACCCGATGGGCTGGAGGATAAATCATTGAAAGAGCTGAGCTTGTTTTCACTGCTGCCGCTGAGGCGGTAACGGTTGCGACGGTGACGGAAAGGGTTGGAGTAAGGCATGTGCCGCTGCGGACGCGATGGCTTCCGGCCCGGGCACGTATCGCACGGTGTCTTGCCGTCAGCCGCATGTTGTGAAGGGGTATCTTCGAAATGGTCCGTTTCAAAGCAGGGGCTTGTTGGAGACCGCAAGCGCAGCTTAAGGTGTAGGCGAGGATTGCACCATAGCCCAGGCTAGCAATTCCTCGCAGCCGCGCGAACTGATTGGTGCTATATCGATTAATTGACCATGTGATGGAATTCAGTAAGAGGGGTCAATGTGCAGGTTTGCTTCATGAGAAGGTACTGGCGACTTGTGGCAAACATATGCGATACCTCGCGCCGCCGTAATATATAGTTAAAGAGCAAAATTGTCAATTGTATCTACTCTGGCAACTGAAGCGGTCAGGACGACGGGCTATCGGTAACAATTCAGTGAGTCGTCGTTCCCAAATCCAGCGACGAGTACGGCTATAGTCATGGCTGCAAAGCGTCATAGCGTGTACAACTACGTCTCTATAGGTCGATTAAAAGCTGCTCACAAATACGTTCAAGGCTAGTAGGGCCGCAAACACTTCCCACTCACAGACAGAATGGCCGGCCTACTTCCGTCGCGCACATTCGCTCAGACCCACAGTAGCCGCACCGTAAACAACGATCTTGCGTTCCCCACTTCGAGTGCAATTCTTGCCTTGCCGACGCGCCGTGTTGTAGGTTCCCTTCTGATCGCACCCAGGCCGGGCGTGCGGCAAGGCCAGCAGTATAGCGCCAGCCCAATAGTCCGTAGCATCCCCGTCTCTGGGCCAGGATCAGCAGATGCGGCCAGTTCCTCGGGCGGCCTTCCTGGCCAGGTGACTTCGGAGCTAATGGAGAGCATGCGCATCAAAATTTGCGAGGCGCTGGAGACTGAGACCTGCACGGTGACGGACATGTACGGGGACGGACGCCATGTTAGCATTGACGTCGTGTCTAAGCTTTTCCAAGACAAGAGCAGCATGCAACGGCAGCGGATGGTCTTTAAGGTAAAGCCACAGCGAGCCATTCGCACATACGGCCGAAGGCAGCAGGCCGCTGTGTTCGTGCTGGTACTGAATTGACGTGCTGGGGTACGTGTTTCTGTCAACCAAGACCCAGTCAGCCCCACCACGACTGCTACCAATACGGCACCTGCACATGTAAACGGTGGGCATCTGCATTTGCCGCTGGTTCAGCCGGCAGGGCTGCAAGGGTTCTGTACCTCCTCCACATAGTTAATACGTGTCAAGCATCCATACCACAAAGGTTGTCAGTTGCATGCATTTGAGGTAGGCCTTATCCCAACGCCCTGCAGTACAACAGCAGAGGGTTCCGATGGCAAATAACGGGTACCTGACCTGACCTTAGATGCCGAGGCAGTAAAGGCTTGGGGCTCCTTGTTAATTGGCATAAGGCTGCCTCCTGTTCATGCCCGCCTCTTGTCTTACGTGTGCTGTTGTAGCTCCAGCCCCAACTTCCCTTTCTTCTCCCACCAGGCCATTTGGATGGAGCTGCAAGAAGCTGTCCATGCGGTAGACAGCATGAACACCAGGACACCTGAGGAGGCCGCGAACTAGGTGGAGCCGCCAGCCGGCCAAAAGCACGTGGGATGGATTGGATGAATGGGCGGAATTGTTGGACTGAATTCCTTTCGTGCCATGAGGACCTGGCGCATATGTACTTGCCCCAATACCGCATACGTAGCCTGCATTGTATAGCTTTCGTTCAGAGGGCGAAGCCATTTTGGGCCGACGCTGTCGGATGCCGGATTGCCTAATGTGTGGAATGTATGATGCTTCCAGCCTTTAGGCCTCTAGCAGAAATGGTTGAAGCAATTTGGGGTTATTGTTCTAGGATACCGCTGAGGAGTACGCTCGCACTGAGAGGAGGTTGAGCGCCATCCTTAGGCGAGGCGCGAGGCAACGGCCGAAAAGCTGCGAGAATTCAGACACGTTTGTCCTAAATACATTAGTCATATTTGCTCAATAGCTCAGGGGTCCCGGACTCGCGGTCGTCGGCTCGTCCAGACGGCTCGTCTCGTACCATTGTAACCATGCAAGCAAAGACGTCCAGTAACCCAGAGCTACTTCCCGCGACCTAACCGTGTGGCCTGTATACTAAATTGAGTTACCATCGTAACTTACGACGCAGAGGCTGCTTCATTGCAAAGTAGACGGCCGTCTAGGCCACAAAGAGATCACCGAGCTAAATGAGTGCCAAACCAGCCTGCTAGCCTCATGATAACATAAGCGTCTTTGCTGCACCAGATGGCAGAGAGTAACCCATTTACTGCGCTGAACAACCCTCAGCTTATCATTCCCGGCCTTCTAATTAGCAGCTTTCAGTTTGAGACTATTGAGCTTGAGCTTAGGGAGCAAGGGGTTACACACATATTGCAAGTGAGCAGCTGGACCCGAGATGTCTACCCTCGGTGCTTCGCTTCTTTCTTGGGTTTTCTGTGGCTTCATTGCACTCGTTACATCACCTTGCTCACTTGTTGGAAGTACTCGCTAAATTGTGTGATCACCCAACCTCGCGCGCAATGTTATAAACCCTTGCTCGCAGGTTGGGATTGAATTGCATCCAAGCCACTCAGGTATGCACTTCCGTTGCAAGGGAACAAAAATGCATAGTTATTGTCGCGTTGCTTTGTGGCATACGGTGCAGTTTGACGCACATTCAACTCACTCGGAGCCCTTTCTCTGGAAGCGTTTGCAAGATAAACTGATATTATCCCTGTTGATGTTTAGGTGGCATGCCAACAGCCCTTAACCCACCTCATGGGTCATGTGGTGCGCTACCGTTACCCCTTTTGCTCACCCCTTAAGACGTGTGCCGACGCCCAACCGTCCTCCCCAGTCCGTTCTCAATTTTTTACTTCCTCCTCACCTCTTGGACCCTCCAAACCCCTAATCCCCAAACCCCGCATGCCCAGCAGGCAAGTTCGAGTACCTTCAGGTTCCTATTCAGGATGTGGAGGGGGTGGACCTGGTGGCACAGCTGCCGCGCATGCTGCGGTTCATTGACGAAGCGATAGCGAAAGGTACGACAGCTGGTATGGCAGCTGCTGCATGGTTGAACCGCATGGTGCCTTGCCCGTACCTGGGTTCACCGGTTCGGAGCACGTGAGGCCGTACCGCAGTGAGTCCCTTGGAGGGGAAGCAAGACCCCGCACAACATCGGTACGGGCTGTTAATCGGCGCCATGCATGTCTCCATCCACCCAGTCCATCCACTCGTACCGCTCTCCTGTCTTTCTTAGACCAGCAGAACCCTCGAAGGTGCACCCCACCCACACCACACCCCGCCTGCTGCTCTTGTACCGCATAGCCACCTACCACCACCACCACCTTACCACCTTTCCTTTGGTGTCGTCGCCCCCTAAGCCCTGGCTGTCTCATCCTTACCTTGCCCTGCACCACCCGCGCTCTATTCCACGTACGTTACTAGTAACGATAATGCCATCCGCCGCCCCTTCCACAACTTTCCCGTCTCATTGGTTTCCTCCTCCCTACCCCATCCCGCTTCCTGATCCCTACTTGCAGGCGGGGTGGTGCTAGTGCACTGCATGATGGGAATCTCCCGCAGTGCCTCAACCTGCATCGCCTACCTCATGTGGAAGGAAAGGCTCAGCTTCGTGCAAGCTGCAGGAAGGGTGAGCGCTGGGTGGGGGGTAAGGGGGCAGGGCAGGGCAGTGGGGACGGGCCGTTTATGCGGCAGTGGGCACGAAATGGGCAGGCATGAGGACGGTTGGGACAGCTTGCAGTGGGGAGGGAAAGTAAACAAGGTATGGAAGGGTGTGTTGGTTCACCGGGAGGGATAGAGTGGTTGGGTTACCAGTAATGGTTTGGTATCCTGAAGCATAGGGCAGGGTTGGCGGAAGACGGTTGTGGGGGTTTTGGAGGTGCAGCGGTGGTGCGAAGGCGGTGATGGGATGGGTGGCTGCCAACAGAAGCCAAGGTGGGAAGGAGACCTGCGGGCGGTGGTGGCTTGCTTGGGTATGCATACATGTCTGATGTCTGACGAGGAGGAGACGTGGTGGCTGCGTTTCGGTTCCCGGGTGCCACACATTGCACGCCACCGCGACCTGAGAGTCCAGCGTGCCGGCAGCGTGTCCCGGCAGATGGAAAGTACCCGCCGTGGACTCCTAGTGATGACGAGACTGGGGTGCTTCCTTTGCTAGCCTGCTTGGATGGGCGCGTTTACGCACATGCGTGCCTGCTCTTGTACGGACACAACCTGCATGGTTTACTTCACGCCCTGCATTGGGTCCATCCAGCAGACAGACCATGCATGCATATCCGTGTTGGGTTATGCACGCGTGCATGCACTGCACACATGCTTGTTGGCTTCACTGGCGGGCACGGCCCTTTGTTCGTTTGTTGCCGCTCACCAGCCACCTTAAGTGCACGCACGCATGAATCCTATCCCGTTGGCTATGTACGTTGGGTGTTCATCACTTCACACGCATCCGCGCTGTTCCTGGCATCTGCATTTCCTCGACCGCAGGTATACGCGGCGCGCCCCTTCATCTCCCCCAACCCGGGCTTCGTCCTGCAACTGCGATTATGGGAGCGCAGCGGCATGGACTTTGACTCCTGGAAGCCCTGGTCCCGACAAACGTGAGAGCGTCTGCTGTTGCGTGTGTGCGACTGTCGTACGACTTCATGTGCCGTGTGTTAAAATAACTGGCCGCGAGGCGAAACGTACTGTGATTGCCGTGTGTATGCAAGCACGAATGCTGGATGCGTTGCCCCAAACTCTTTGTTGAACCTGTACCGGCAACTGGCTGGATAGATATACCCATGCGGGGGACCCCTAACACCGTGCCGCTGTGCTGTATATCCACCCACTGCTCAGCATCTGGGCTTACAGCCGTGACAGTAGTGCTGTTATCAGCTTGTCACCATCCTTCTGCCTATGAGATAGCAGGCCTCTCGCGCCAGGCTGTCGCGCCACTCCACCTACAATAACAAGAGCGCAGCAGTAACGCACAGCCATTTTGAAGCCGGTCACATGAGAGCCGCACCTGCCAACGTGCCAAACCCACAACTGTTCCCACAACTTAATCCGCATGCAATATTGCTCATTACCTCCACGCAGGTTTCTCGAATTAATGGAGGAGTGGGGCGGGCTGCAGGCCTGCCTCTTCACCAGCGTCATGAAGGAGGGCGGAGTCAGCCTAGCCAACATTTCCGCCTCCCCGCGAGGCAGCTGTGGTTTCGGGGCGGTCGTGCCCTCACCGCCGCCGCCCAAGCGGAGACCCATGCCGGTCAAATGGACGCACCGCCTCTGCTGCATCAGCTAGCAGGGCAGGGAGGTCTGGGTATCGCCCGTTTTCCCTTGCGTTACTCCGAGCTGCTTGGGCTTGGTGTATGAGGCATGTATCCAGCTAGCGACGAGGCAGCGGCCCCTCCCCTTTTTCCCCTCGCCTGTGTATGTCTGCTTCTTACTGCACGCGATGCAATTTGATGAAGTAGGTTGAGCTCCCTGAATGACATCTATGTGCCACTCGTAGCAGTGTAACTGTAGCCAGCGCCGAGAGTAGCAAGATGGGAGCAGGCAGTGTATGTAGTTCCGGCAGTAGCATGCGAGCCCGTTAGCGGGCCGTGGTGAAAGCTGCTGGAGGGAAGCACCTCTGTATGTGAGGCTTCGTACGGTGCGTTCAGGTGGCTGAATTTAAATTTCTGCAGCTGTGCGTGATATGTACGCGGCACGTCTGGACGCGGCTGAGTGCGTGGCAGCATGCATCATATGATGACGCGCGGTTTGGGAGCTTCGGCCATCAGTTATTAGAAGCACAGATACGACTTTGGACTGGATTGGCGCCTTAGTGACCCCCTTTTAGCATTGTTTCCCGGCCTGTGCTGGTTACTATTAGAACGTGGTTCGGCAGCAGGCCTACCACATGACTGGCTAGCGTATCTTGCCACCCAAAGCTGGAGCAACAACGGTAATCGATCTTGTGGATAAGACGAATTTTCGCCTCGCCCCTGGGTCAGATATGGTCGTCCAAAAGGAGCGTTAGTCCTGACAGGCAGCGGTTACACTGGATCAGTCCAGGGGAGTTTTACAGTGGTCTGTTCGGTAGGTAGTCCTGTCCAAGAGTGTCATGCCAGGGCAGGACTTCAGCCCTTGGCGGTGTTGTCTTCGTTACCTATCTAGGCAACCCAGGTCAAGCCTCTCAGGCTATGGCTCCAGCGCAAGGGCTACTGGTAGCGGAGCTACTCAGTACTATGTAACTACCCCAGGTGTACATATAAGTATTCATAGAAACCCGTCAGCTTTGCAGACACTGAGGCTCGCCCCCTATAAAAACTTAGCCCTTGGCCAGCTACCCCGAGATTGAAGCCAAAGGGGAAGCGGGACCGTAACAAAGGTGAAGCAAGTATGGTGCGATGATGCCCGCCTGTTGAACAGCGTCATAGTGATAAAAGTAAGACCGAAAGTGAAAATGCGCAGGTAGAGCGTTCCGAGCCATAGGTATAGACTGCGGCACAAGATCTGTCGCTCCAGGGAACCAACAACGGACAGATACGTGAACGCGGCAACTCAAACACTGGTATAACTCAAAAAGAAACATAAAGATAGCTGCGAGCGCCTACGAGTTGGACATGCTTGGGCGATGCAACCAACCAACCGACCTGCTCTGAAACCACGGACCAAGATTTCGCATACGCATGGTTAGGACACGACATATGGTGAAAACAGGTGACGGGGCATGTTGCTTGCTCGCTGCTGCATCCCCGCTTGCACAATCGACATTCACACAGCTACATACATACTCTCGCCTACATTGTCCAGGCGCGGTAATACATCTTGCTTGCATGGCCAGGGGTAGGAAACCACTACCTCGCTCTGAAACATGCGTCCGCCTTCCCTTGAGTCGTCAGACAGACCATTGCCAAAGCCTGACCAAAACCTGTGTTGAGGCCTGGCACACGCGCCACTACGAAAGCATATAAAAATGACATCTTGACCAGGCAGTGACAAGGACCAGGCGCCTTGGCCATACCTTGGCTAGGGAGTGAAACACTATTAGTTGGCTCGCCCCGATTAGGGGTGTAGTCTTAGCGTTCACTAAAAATAGTCCGGGCCAAGGCGTTATGTCCTTTTTGGCCTGCCCTTGATTCTAGACGCTCCGCCAGGCCGCGGCTTGGAAGCAAGGGAACAGCCTTAGTGAACACCCCGGCAAATTTAACAGAAAGTAGTGTGAGCTTTTTGGCATCTTTTTCGTACAAATGGTTTGAAAATTGAATGTGTATATGCAAGTCACAAAGACAACCTGCGATGTGGCTCCAAGTCAAGAACAATTGTTATGAGTTGAGAGGAGGTTCTAGCTGCAGCGTTCGTCACATAATCAATGCACACGTGTTTGTTGTATTGTGATTAAAATAATGATGTGTATATGGGTGAGAAGTGATGTTGGCGTGTGTCGTACAAAGTACAAAGCAAGTTACAAAAGGAGAGGCCTTCAGCGCATGTTGATAGCTTGCTACACGCTGGTATCCGTTAGGTTGTTGTCGCGGTAAGGCCAGCAGCGTAGTTTAATAGGGCCGACACAAATGGCTTCGGTATTGCCTTCCTTACTCAATACACACAATGGCCAGGGAATGCAGGAAAACATATGAAGTTGAGGCTCTGTGTAAAGCAGCCGAGACTATTGCTTCTAGCGGACTGAAACTTACTGCCAAGCTATTGTATGACGAAGTGTGCTCCGACACGCGCTTGAAGGGCTTGACGTATAAACAAGCATTACAAACTATCGTGGCTACTGGGAAGGAAGCGTCGCCAAAGACATTGCTGCAGGAAATGGGGCGGCCCAGTATCACTGTAGGCATGGTGCGGAATCGACTGCGGAAGGAACAAAGTCAAAAAGGTACGGTCGCTCATAGTGAACTGTTTGAAGGTAGCCACTGTTTCGCTGACGACATTGCTCCATCGCACAAACGCAGGTGACAATGTTCCAAGCACTTCTCAAAAGGAGAGCGGTATGGGTACGTTGTTTATTATGAGTGCATTTCAGAAAAGGTGCTGGAGGAATGCTGCACCGAAGAGAGCGTACCACTGAATACTAGCCCAACATGCTCTGAATGCCACCCACAAACCCCTGCCCACATAGAAGAAGACAACTTTGGCGACGAGGCTCTGCCAGCATATGACAAACGCAGTGGAGTGCAGAGGTGCACCTACACTACAGTTGAAGCAGCAGAGGAAGCCTGCAGATCTCCATCCCCTCCCCTGCCAAAGCTTGGCTCCCAAACTCAGCCTCTCTGGATGTTATAGCCTCCACGGTTCAATACACTTTTCCTATGCAAGCCATGCCACCGCCCTGTCCTCCCCACCCCTACTTTCCTGTTGCCTTACCTTTCCTCGCTTTCCTTTCACCACCAACCCTGTTCTTGCTTTCCTATCCCTTTCCCTGCCCACGCCATCCTTTAGCTTCCATGCCTTTATTGTGCTCTCCCCGTGACTCCCCTTGCCAACCCATTCCCACCCCATCCCTGTGCTCGAATGAGGGTGACAGCGAGGGCAACTGATACCTAGGACCGTGCGTCAGTTACTGTGCACGCCTATGATACCCTCGAGTTGCCAACGCAATTGCGACCCTGCTTAGCAAGACGGCTTGCCCCTGAGGGCCGCAGACGCCGGGCTTGCTGGTGCAATATGCCAATTCGCACTATCCAGGCATGCCCCTCGACGCTGTAAACGCCTCCCTCATATGACCCTACGCAGCCATCTGACCCTCCCAAACGGGACACCCATGCGCCACTCTCCTAAGCAGCCTCGTCAGCCCCCCAGCCCGCCACCTTACCCACCCAAGCATGACTCCCACACACCGCCATCATAAACAGCCGCGAAAACGCACCCAACCACCCCACCACACCATCACCCCCCCATGCTACACACCCATTTGGGCAGGCCATGACATCGCTTCGGTATTTTTGTACCGTGCACGTGTCTTTTGTTTTGTCCTTGTACATTTGGTATGTACCTGCACCGAGGTCGCAGATTCGGTTGGACAAGGTGGCGTTGTATTCCTTGTTGTGATTTTAGTATAATGACATGTCGGAAAAGAGAGAGGCACAGAGGTAACAGAACTACGCAAATGTCGTACATATTGGCAGAAACAAAGTGCTGTTGGCAGGTTTGTCTCGGTGATTCTTAATCTAAACGGTTTCCGCAACCAAGTGTAGCAATTGCGGAAACTGTGGTTTCCTGCGTTCGTACAGCAAAGCGGTTGGGTTGGTCGTACGGTTGTACGACAGCGTGAGCAGTGTCTTAGGGAACACGGTTGCGTTGAGTTAGTACTTTCGCGAGATTGTTCGTCAGATCTGACACCGCCGTGTCACGTCGCACCATACTACGAGGTCACTGGTGCATGTTACACGGTGGACCAACACTCGCTGCCCATCCCCTTTGGAAGAACCTCTTTCTCTGCTTGCAGGTACCCAAAAGCATCGTCGGACGCAATGCTGGAAACTCCATAGAAATGGCATTGTAATGTTGTAAACCTTTTACTAACATTTAGCCCGTCAAGTCAAGGCGAACTTGCCTCTTGTTGTGCATACCTCAAGGCTATCATGCCTCTTGCAATGAACTGATAAGGTATAATGTAAAAGGCTTTGTTGTATATCAATACGAACAGCTTAGCAAAGGCTGCCGCTGCTGTGGCGGCCGCGGAGCCACAAAGTTGGCATCGTCTCGCTACATCCACATTTACATTCGATACATCATTTCGTTCGTTTAACGGCCACCGCTGAAAAGTGGATCATACAACGTGCTCATTTCACGTATTCCATGCGTCCCTTGCCCAACATGGCCTTCGTCGCAAGCATGTGGACTATCGCTCTGGCGATTGTTTCTTTCATCCCTTTCGTTGGTAGTTATTCCAGCAAGGCGGAATGGTTGTATCAGCAGTGTGTCAAGCTGGGATTGGCGAATTTTGCCGGTGTTATGGCGTTTTTGCGCGCTCGCACGAGTGAGCATGTTGGACCCTGCCACACCGCATGCACAGCTTAGGTATGGTGTTAGCGTGAAGTTCGAAACCGACATTCCACATGTGTCGCTGGATGGCTGCAAATACAGCCACGGCCATAACGAGCCGAGATATGCACGCACCGCTGCATCAGAATGTGCCGCTGTGGCGCGCAACACATGATGTGCAAGGTGGGACAACCTACCCCTGTTTGCTAGCAGGCTGTTTGACTGTGTTCGAATGGCACGTGATAACTGGACACACTGCGCTTGCCTTTTGATGACAGTGGGCCAGCCTAGGTTTTCAAGCATGGCGGACTGTTTTAGCAATGTCCTGTGGGGTGCCTGCATGCATACGTTGGGATAGAGGAGGCTGGTGGTGCAGCTATGGTCTTGCTCTTGACGACCCTTGTTCCCGTTTCCAATAGCTCTATGCACCGCCATACCTCGAGCGAAACACGGGGAAGCAGGGTCACACAGGCATGCCCACGGACCACACTGACGCTTTTACGCATAGCACTAACATATAATACGCATCCCAACTGTACGACCTCCCTCGACTCCGCTCAAAACCAGCCGGCACCGATATGTCCTTGGCAAGACTTGACAGCGAGTTTTGATTTCAAAAAGGGAGCGAGTCCCGGTGTCTGCGAAGCTGACGGGTTTTGACAGCAGTGTGTTGCCAATTGGCTACCTCTAAAGAGTTGGCAGAACCATGCCTGCATCTAATAGGAGCTTAACCCGCTAGACATGTCAACCATTGTCACTGTTTTGCAGAGCATGGTACATAGTTGCCACACCTATTGAGAGATAGTGTAGGAAAGCTGTACGTGATTTATGGTCAATAATAAGCACTTACGCCTTTACTTGGCTACATTAGTTCTGAGATTGCCATCACCAACATACAAGTTTCAAAACAACAATTGTTGCTTTATTGCCTTTTAATATCTGTTGTCACTTTGTGTGCTCCACTACAGGCCAACATCACCATCAGGCCAGCGTGGGGAGCATGTTTGAAGCACCCCAACGGCACAACTCGAAACACCCCAAAGGCATTGGCATCGTGCTTGAGATCATTCCGGAGTGCATCACGCAGCATGCAGCCTTGGAATGCCGCCTAAAAGAGAGGGCCTTACGTGGCGTACCGGGCCCTTTACCTTTAATAGAACGATGCTTTCGAAATGAGACATCAGGGAGTTTGGTCTAGTGGTATGATTCTCGCTTAGGGTGCGAGAGG